TTCGGGACATCCGTTGGTAGTAGTCGACAAATTCATTTACCTTGGAAGTTGTCTTAGTATTGGCGGTTTGACAGATGAGATCTCCCTGCGTGTCTCCAAGGCTAGAGCCACTTTTGTTAACCTTCGTTACCTGTGTCTTCTTCGCGACCTCAGCCTAGCTCTCAAGGGACTAGTCTACAATTCCACAGTACGAGCGATTCTGCTGTACGGTTGTGAGACTTGGCCCGTTCGCAAAAGTGATGTTCAGCGGCTATCTGTCTTCGATCACCGCTGCCTGAGAAGCATTGCTTGTGTTCGATGCGAGCATCACATCAGTAATGTGGAAGTTCGTCGGCAAGTATTCAGATCTAACGAACTCCGCCGACCGTCTGATAGTATCATTTCACTGCGGATGCTTCCCTGCCTTAGGCATGTGCTTCGCATGCCTACCCAGGGGTTACCACGACGAGCCCTATTTGCGAGCACAGGAGTGTCTTGGAAGCGACAAAAAGAAGAATAATGTGAAACTTGGATCCAATGCGTTAAGATGCAAAAGTTGAAGCGGTCTGTTGTCGGGCGAGCCCGACTCCCGGGTTGGGGACCAAAGGACCTCCAGCACATCTGGTTTCAGACGCTGGAGGATATGGCCAAAGAAAGTAGGCAATGGCGTGCTTGCTTTGAGACTCTTCTACCCCAACAGTTGTTTTCCCTTTCATGCTATTTTTCCTCTTGTGTGTTGTGGCACTTAGCCAATTATATTGTAATTGATATAGTGTTGAATATATATATATATATATATATATATATATATATATATATATATATATAGTGAAGAGACCTACGTGAAAGCGACGAACGCCCCGTTGGTTTTACCAATTAGCTAGTGTCTGTGCAGACTGCTATGTTGGGCGCAGTGACCAGATTCTGGGTGTCCGATTCGACAGACACATCACAAAGCGGTTTCGCAAGCTGTTAGAGTATACGACGGTTGCAACAGGTGAATCAAGAAGCAAGGTTATCTCAACACTACTTAGACGCCGGTCGCCAAGACAACTCCGATGCGTCATTCAAACCACATAAATGTACTTGGAGATTTTGAATTGTATGTCCCCTTGAGACCATTGTCATAGACAGACAAAGGCCACCATACTGTTTTAAAAAGCCGATGACAACGATGCTGAAGCTGTTTTGGTGATGTCAGTTCACCGAAGCAGATCCCGAAAGGAAGCAATGTGTTACACCTAACCAGGTATTGACCCATTCGTTGAAAACGCTAGTTAGATATTTAAGACTGAGTGTACCCCAGAAATAACCTGCGAAACAATCGTTAAAACCCTAACGCCAATAGTCCTAAAATCAGCAAAGCCAAAAGCTTTCCACCGTCCCTTCAAAACAAAATCCGTTTTGAGAATCCGAACGCGAAAATATATGGCCTTGATGGATCGAACATGGCGTGTATACAAAGTCAGTCCCAGCTCAGCAAATTGGACGACGTACGTAGTTCAACACAAATACTCTGCGCAGTTGGTTCGTAAAGACAAGGTAACGTACCAACATGAGCTAGCGAAACGATTCTGTTCGTACCACAAGCTTCTCTACAAGCAAGTGAATAGACTTCATAAGGTGCAGCGCGGAATCCCACCACTCACTGCGGTTGGTTGCCATATACATACAATGTGAGAGGCGGACAACGCCTTACGGGCCCAGTACTCACTTACTTTCCAAGGGGCACAAGCCATGAACGTTTTTCCTGCTTTTATCATTACTCCATCAGTCTTATCCAGCATCACATTCACTGCAGAAACGGTGCTTAAAACTACTAGCTGCATACACATAGCTCACCAGGGACGGATAATATTCACTCGAAAGCACTGCAGATAGCAGCCATGCACCTAGCAGGACCACTAGCTGGATTGTTTAAGCTGTCAGGACGAGAACATAGTTCTGTCAAAGTGGAAGCAGGGTGTTATCACTTCAGTTCACAAGATTGAAAGTTGATCTGAGCCTACCAATTACCGCACGGTAACGCTTCTCCCTGTACTCGCCAAACTCATGGAAACGATCATCGCACTGAGGGGCTATCTGGTCGACCAGTGCTCAGGTGGTCTGCCCGTCAGGCTTGCAATCATAAGGCCACCGGTTCGAATCCGTGTAGGGGTGGGCGTTCTCGCGGTATACTCAGCCCGCGCCCGACTGATGATGGTCGCGCGACAGCGAAGCACCGTTACGGGGTACAGCTGACGATTCATGACATCACTGCGTCGGTGTAGCACGGGTATCCTCAACATTGATCATGTACCACTAATCTGTTTATAGCACACGACAGCTAGACGGAAACGGTCGATGAGCGGACAGAAGCCGATGTTATCTACTTGGACTTTTCGAGAGCGATCGATCGCTTAGATAAGCGAATCAAAAATTTTATCACTACGGCAGCGAAGATCCAGTACAAGGATGGATCGGTAGACTTCTCCGCAAACACTAATTTGAAGCTCAAGTCCGAACATCTGTCCGACCCGATTCGAGTGAAGTGTGGCATGTCGTAGGGATCGGTACTTGGGCCTTGCCTGTTTTTAGTTTCCATGAACGATCCAGCGAGATTAGTCGCCTCAGTTGTTATCTATCCTTCGTGGATGTGGTTAAGGTTTGGTGGAAGAGCAAGTGATTAGACGGCCACGCAATTCACCAGGGTGATGTCGTTGGGGCCTGGAACTGGTCTGTGAGGAACGCGCTGCCATTCAAGGTGGACAAATGCCGCGTTGTCCACATCCACCATCGACACGCCAATAGCTACAAAGGTGGGGCGGACGACCTGTAGATATGCTCTCATAAATGTGACTTCGGTGTGCTGATACAGGACGACCTCAGTTGTTCTAGGCAGTCAGAGTCCGATTCAAAATTAGGTAACCAGGACGTTGGTCACTTGCGGACGGCATTAGGAAGTTTGGATTCATTCATCTCTCTGATGCTTAATGCCTGTGTGTGTTCTAATGTCGAATACGCTATCCAGGCTTGGCATCCTTGGATAAATGTGATCTCGTAGCGTTCGATATCCAACAAGGTCGAGCAATAAAAAATGTCAAGGGTTTGCTCCACCTTTCGTACCAAGAATGACTGAAGACGCTCGGAGTGTTCACTGGACGCTACCAGTGGCTACGTAGAGACGACATGCTGGTTTACCAAATACTGAGCGACCCCAGTCGTGTATACCGCCACATTTTGAAACCCAGTTCGAACACCGACCTAAAACGCAACAGCTTGAAAGTGAGCGATTACAGACGTCCGGATAGTCGGCGAACTTTTTCTTCCCTCCGGGTTTATCAATCCTGCAATGTCATTCCAAACTCAGTTGTTTGTGCTCCACCATAGCCATTAAAAAAGTGATTATATAGCGCATTGAGTTCCCTGCACCTTTTTACCTGGACGGATACTCTGGATCAATTCGGGCTAACCAGATTCTTCGGAATTATAAGCCATACTGTCGCACGTAAATCTGTGCAGAGGGGTGACCAATCAGATAGTTAATTATTATTAACATGAACCATAAAATCTAGTCAATCCGTTTTGCATAATACCACCTCACCCCTATAACCTTAAAATTTATTTACAAGTAGTCTGTCGATTCAACGATGCGCATGCTAATTGATCCACTTATGGAGTATTTAGATTTGCAATTCGTTTCATTACCAAACTACGGGACATGTTAAGCTCGTGCTATTTTACCCGTATAAACCATGGTTCCATTGTTTAGTCACCAATCGAGTTCACTTAAGCTTCTTTTGGATTTTCCATATACCTGATGTATGCGGTTAGAGAGAATGCATGAAATAATGACGTCTTCCTACAAACTACATCCTCTGGAGTTAAGTTATTATAAAGAAAGTTTCATGTTTTGTCTTTCGCATTGATATAGTTGGCTATTTAATTTATGGTTATATAGGTGGAAAAATGCAAAGTGTAGGCAAGCAGTATCGTTGCAGCGCCGTGCAAGACGATGGTGACTGTGTTTTCGGCTGCTGCTCATTTCGCCAATTGGACAGTGTTGCGCGCACTCACTGGTATTTCTGTCTGGCCACCAACGCACAAACCTATTGCAACTGATCGCCATCAAACTCGGTACGCCTATATCCAGACTAGTCACTTCTCTGGAATACACAGTCGTACACATGTCCCGCCTAGTGATAGACAGCGCGGTTGCGCACAAGCCTAGTGGGCTTATCGAGATACAACAGACAATCAACTCAAGCGTTTTCGGTATCAACCGTACTGAACATATCTGCCTTATAGCTCAAATGCAGGGCTCAGAAGGATCACAGCAGCTGTTTATGACCATCAGATTACAAGTTGTCAGTACCCTGACACTGAGATTTGCATCACAAGTGTAAAAACGGTCATCAACAGCACCGGTACGCAGTAACGACACTTCGATGCCGCGCAATCATCACCAGTCGCACGCGAGCTAAGGCTATTGGGAGGGTCGCACGGTCCGTACGCAGGCTCGAACCCGCGACCTCGGATTAGAAGGCAGGCTCGTGAACCTTAAGGCTAAGGGCCGGCATGTGTAACACCAATTTTAATTCGCCAATATTCTTATTCCCACTTATTGAGTACAGTTCTCCAACCCAAGCACCTGTGGTACGCCAACAAAACTGACGTGCATTACAGACTTGTTGTTGCTGTCCGTTGGTTGGTATAACAACATGCGATGTCCTAAAATAAAGGAGGTAGATCTATGGTGAAAAGTGCGCCTCGGTTGATTCGAATACTCCGTCATTCGCTAAGCTTAACACGATAAAACGAAGAGCAAAATCGGGTTGTCATATCCAATCATTTTGGTGAAAACAGTCAATAGTGCGGTTCGACTGTAGCTCTATCACTTCCACAGAGCGGGTGGTTAATTGATACTGACGCAAATCAGTGATATGCATTAGTAGAGGGTAATGGAGAATTGTATAACCATTGAATGTGATGCCTCCGAATTTAATAAAGAGCATACACCATTAGATTTTATTGTGTTTCAGTTTTGGGAAGTCATCTCGGAAGAACATGGCGTTGATCCGAACGGCCGTTACGTCGGAGACTCTGACCTACAACTCGAGCGCATCAATGTCTACTTCAACGAGGCTATCGGTGAGTTACCATGATAATTGTCATTACACAGCAGTCCATCAAGATAGCTGACGGAGTTTCCATGAAAAGGAAGCGAGGGTGAAGTACTACCAGAGTGAAAAGTCGCTGGCACCAATGCCGGTTGTCATCTATAACAAATACACTGGATAGGAAGTCATAGCCAGATATCACTGTGCCAGAGTTGTTTGAACCGAAGAAATCAGGTCGGGAGTTACGGGATAATCGCGACCCCCTCATAGAATCAGTTCAGGCAAAAGGATCACCGATCAACTGATGAAGCAGCTAGAAATTGGGTATTATCCGCTGAAAACACTAAACTAATTAACGCAATGAATACTTCAAAACGACGCTCCAAATATCCATCGGCTAACCTTTCTCCACACACCAGAACACTGAAATCATTATTTTAGGTCTTTTCACACAGTGATTAGCTTCCTATCAGTAGGCCATAGCCATTGCTGGACGATAAAGGAAATAAGTTTTCCCGATGAAGATGATGCTGTTTGGGCATGGTAAGCGAACTAATCCCAAAGGCAACACTGCCTCACATCAGGAGTTAAGAAAGTGGTGCCTCGCATGCCTACTGGGGTGCGATACCATCTACAAGCCTTTGATATAAAGCACTCATTCGCCTACTTAAAGCTGATGAATAAGGGTGGCAAGCTGTTGTTCTAAGTAAGGGAGCCAAAACAGTTGTTCTTAGTAGCGTGTAGCTGGAAGTTAGGTATAAAAGCTACAGCAGTCCTAAGAGTAACTCTCACAATCTGTCTTGGTCAAATAATTTTCCAGAGAATATGGTATATTTACTACACCGTACTACAACCCTCTAGTAGGCTTGACAAAACTGAAGTAGGGTGCGCGCTGTGGCCTTATATGCTATTCCGAGTGAGACGCGCTGACATGAAACGCAGTCGCTAAGTAGTGTGCACGGTTGGAAGCAGGTAGGGTATCAAACGCATAAAGAAGGCAGGGCCTACCATGTTATTAGGGATCAATGCTGATTTAAGCACTGCGCTAGTAGAGGTGGGTCAAGTTTGCGTAGCAGCCATCCACGCTCAACGGGCAGTGTACAGCCGGGAAGAAAAGATAAAGGTTCCATAGGAAACCAAGTAACCGTGGTCTAACTGGTCAGTAAGAAGCAAACAGGAGTCCCCCGGTTTGTTGTCCGTTGTTCGAAGCTGCGACCACCACCTTGTCGACGATATCCCAGACACATAGAATCTCATATAGTTGATATTCAGAACCTATCTCGGTGGAAAATTGGGCAACAAAGCGAAACCAACATGCACAATATATATATATATATATGCATATATATGCCAAAATGTCTGGTCCTTCTACTCCGTGCCTCATTACCGGCTACTGCGGTAGAATTGTGGTGACACTTGGACAGGCGTAACTGGCCTGAGCAAGGAGTGCGCAATAGGTGCTTAGTGTTATCTCAGCAAATGAGTAAGGGGTTATTGGCAACGCTTTTGTAGACTGAAAATTACCTTCCAACAATTAACCTTAGCAAAATAGGCATTCCTAACAATTAGGCCTTGCAAATATGGAATGTGACGTTTTGAGAAAGGATTGAAAAGCTATGCTGCCTAAAGACTACTCTCGCTGCCGCATAGACTATTCTCCCGTCGCAGTCTTGATCGCCGTTGCAGGAACCAAGTGTGGTTACGCTGCCCAATTTGTTTCACGCTGGATCATGAGCATTCATTTCAACATATTCACCGATGAGGCAATATTCCATTAGCACGGAGCTGAGAATCTGCATTTCTAGGCAATATCTAATCCTCGCGGATATTGAGAATCACGTATTGTACGAAGCGCGAAGCTCATTGGCTCGAAAAAATGAATGACAAATCGTGGGACCACAATACACGCATGTGGGTTCTCACGCATACTGTGTACCACAAGGCCGTTGTACCTGTGATAACTTTTCTACAAAAATAGGTTGCAAACTCCGAATATCGAATTCAAAACAATCGATAAGCCACTCTTTCACGGTCTGTATTCTTAATGAAAAGTTGTTGGACCATCTTTTGCCCCTTTGTGTGACCAGTAGGTTGTTGTTTGGTAGCACTCATCCCACGCAAACGTCTGTACGCTGATTAACAGGATAGAAATACGAAACCGCATAGCCTATTCTCACATCCTCCCCGTATTCCTTAGGTATAACCATTAATAACAAGTATTACCATTGTGAACTAAGTTGCATAGAAGTGGTCAGTTTAAGCGCTGTCGAATCAGCCTTGCTTGTGGATGGCATTCTGGCCCGACGCACCTTTGGCACCATTTGCTCGTGCAACAATCTAGTCCAGAAATCAGTGATAACGATGAATACGTATATTAACATAAACAGCAGAAAACGGTGATATGTCCGTCGACGACGAAGATGTTCAACGTGTCTGCCGGCGTTCTGCTTGTACCGCGAAAATCGCCTGAGGCAATAGGCTATAACCGTTTGTCAAGTTTCCGTGTCGATGTCGCGACATTCGTGGGCAATACTGCCTTTCAGTTGTCCCAGTGAAATAAGCGTTTTCTTGTAAGCTCTACTTTTCAATTAACCCCATAGGAAGAAATGTAAGTGGTTCAAATCTGGCGGCCGGGCAGGCCAATGCTTTGGACCTTGCGACCGATCCACCGGTGACCGAACACCTTAAGATAATGCCGTACCGTTTGTGCATAATGGGCAGGTGTGCCATATTGAACCTATAACGGCTGAAGCGAAGTGCCGAAGTAGCCAATGATAGTCGGGGGTGAAAACATCTCCAGCTTGTAGCTTCTACGTAATTTGCCAACGACAGTTCCATTACCATTGGAGAACCATGATAGACAGAGGAATGGCGGTAATCATAATTGCGTTACTTGGCAAACATGAGGTTAAGGTCATATGGGCAAGCGAAGTACGTGACCATGGCTTGCAAGAAGCACATAACGCAGACTACTGAGCTTCAACGGTTTCGTCCACCGCCGTCAACATTACAGTAAATATTAACAGCGACGTCTGCGTCCTGTAGGACAATTGAGCGATCGAGCGTTTCTCACGTACCCATCTTGTTCTATTCTCTCGTAGCGTTCATTCAACCCCGAGGAAGTATTCGCACCATACCAATCGCAACAATGTGCAAGTGAGACCAATCGTTATGCATTATACACACATTTACATGAAGTATGTTTAAAAAGGATAAAAATCAACGAAGTAGATGTTCAAAATGACCACCACCGTTTCCGTTGAAGAGCAGTATTCGCCCGGAGCTATCACCTAGCACTTTCTGCAAAGTGCCCACCGACATCCCGCGAAGTTGGTTGAAGATGCTCGGTTTCACTTCCTTCGGCCAGCAGCTGTGGATTGACAGGTCCGCGAGATCTTTGTAGAAGGATGCTAACAAATGTGACGCGTCAGTTTTGTTAAGAAATGAACTTACCGTCCTAAAAGTCAACGAAGTAGATGTGCGAAATGACCGCCGTCGTATCACTTACAAAACAGTACTCGCCGGATGCCAATGGCTAGTACTTTCCGCAAAGAGTCCACCGATATGCCGCGACATGCGTTTAAGATGTTTCATTTCAGTGCCTCCAGACAGGTTGGTTTGGTATGATACACTCGGCGTTCCCATTACCCCATTGGAAGAAATACTTGCTCAGGCCAGTTACGCCAGTCCAAGTGTCGCCACAACTCTACCGCAGTAGCCGGTACTGAAGCACTACTGTTTCTATTTGGCATCCCTGTCTCCGTTCCAACCAGCACGACACACTAAGGATGCTACTCGATGGCAGTTCAAACGCTGCCTCCAAACAGACTGCAGACATAATGCATATCGGGCAAAAACACTGACTGTCTCTTGAACAACCGTTCAGAGATCGACTGGCCTATATTGAACGGCTGAAGCAACACGAGGTGTAGGTGAGTCTGGCGGACGCGTCGACAATGGATGAGATGCAGAGAGCGCTTGCTCAGCTGCGAAACGGGAAGTGTGCACCGGCCGACGGGATCCCGCCTGAAGTATTGAAACACGGCGGACCCGCGTTGGTGACTGTGCTGCACCACATGGTGCGACGTGTATGGATTGAGCAGGTGCCTCTTGAGCTGAAGGATGCCCTTGTGCTACCACTGCACAAGGGTGAAGGAAGCAAGCAATGTTGCACGAATTATAATTGCATCAACTTGCTGATTTGTGTAGGCAAGGTGGTTGCCCGCATCCTACTCAACCGCCACGTCAGTTACGTTGTGGAACCGAACATGGCGGAATAGCAATTTGGATTCCGTTCGGGTCGTAGCACTATGGATATGGTGTTTGCGGCTCGTCAGTTGCAAGAGGTGCAGAGAACACCAGCCGTTGTACTCGTTTTTTGATTTCAACAAGGCAGTTGATGCGGTGAACCGCGAGGCATTGTGGCTGGTGTTGGACAAGTTTAGTTGTCCACGTAAGTTAGTAAGTTTAATTGAATATCTGCATAGTGATATGCGGGTAATGGTACAGCTGTGTGGACAAACCTCGGTTGAGTTTGCAGTTGTCTCTGGCATGTAGCAACGCTGTGTCTTAGCACCTGCTATGCTTATTATTTGCCTTTATTCAATCATGTCTTGTGCTTTTGATGCGGTTTGTACTTACGGTGTTCGTGTGGAGCACCGTATTGATGGTGGGTTGTTAAACATCCGTCATTTCGGTACGCGAAAGCTAGTCTGTGAGACAAGTGTCCGTGTATTTCTGTTCGCTGACGAATGTGCGCTGTTTGCACACAGCGCAGATGAGTTGCAGCACATGACTAGTGCTTTGGCTTCGACAGCTGCTAAATTCGGGCTCACCATAACACAAGCAAAGTTATTTGCCTTTCCAGCCTTCACCCAGAATGGAATCTGTGGGCCTGCTCGAAATCCAGGTTGCCTAAGAAGTGTTGGAAACCACTCCGAGATTTTGCTATTTTGGGAGCGTTAGATCAACCGACCTGCAGATGATGTGCGAGCTGCGCAGCCGCGTATCGAAGACGGCTGCTGCTTTTGGCAAGCTGGAATGCTGTGTGTGGAACAACCACCAGCCAGCTGTTGGGACGAAGTTGCTGGTATAAAAGTCCATGGTGCTACCCATTCTTCTCTACGGCAGCGAAACCTGGACGATTTATCGGAAGGAGGTCTGTTATCTGGAGCGTTTCCACCAATAGTGTCGGCGCCGTATTGTGCGCAGCAGTTGGAGTGACCGAGTTGCTCCGACGCAGTGGCATGTATTCAGTGGAATGCATAATTCTGCTGAGGCACCTGAGGTGGCTCGGGCATATTCGCCGCGGATACCGAAAGAGCTGCTGTATGGCCAAATGAGTGCAGGGAACCGGCACGTGGGAAAACCGAAGTTACTTTACCATGACATGATCAAGGTAAGTTTATCACGTTCTAATGTTGATTTCAGGTTGATCGGCGTGCATGGCGCGATCTGACGACGAACGCAATTGCTGAGGTACATGAGAAAGCCTTCGTGCATGCGGAGAAGCGGTAGACGCCGATGAAGTGTACTCCATCGACGTAGAGCGCATGGTGCTGTAACACGTGCGGTCGTAAGTGTCTGAGTCAAGTAGGTGTAGTGAGTCATCAATGAAGCCACTCGGAACCAGTAACTAAACGACGACGGGTGCTGCTGAGAACATAAGCAGAACCGGCGTAGCGTTGGTAGATAGACTGCATGCGCTTCCACTGGATTTACTGACCACGCGCTTTGATGCGTAGTTTTGATTTCAGATGATGGGTCTGCTATCTTCTCTTAATGCCTTTTTTACATCATTACAATGTATATCTGAATAATCTTATATAAACTTACACACGCCGCTTAAGCTAATCGTGGTGTAGTTCATTAACTTTTTCGCCTTTGTGGCATTTTTCAATATCTTTATGACCTTTTGTACGTATCGCGGATTTGTTGATTACCAATTTAGTTCATATGCGCATTTCGTGAAGTTATGTCGGCCTATGCGCATACTTGTCGGCCAGTGGTCTGCACGTTTGCTTTGCAACCATAAGGCCACCGGTTCGAATCCGCGTAGGGGTGGGCGTCCTCGCGGTATACTCAGCCCGCGCGCGATTGGTGGTGGTCGCGCGGCAGCGAAGCGCCGTTACGGCGTATAGCTGACACATTATTATTATTATCCGCATACTTTACTCGATATACTTTATTTGACATTGTCAGTTCGGGTGATTGGCTGTTGTTTGACATCCCCGGTGTGGTTGCGCCTGATGTGCATGTTTACAAGGTGCCTACCTGTCTATTACCCACTACCTCGTCCATACTGGCTTCAGGAGGCAGTTGGTCGTTGCTGGAGGGGACGGGGGTGCACGGTCCTTGTGGCCGTGTTAGGATCAGTGGTTCCATGCACTCATTGTGGAGTAGACTACGGTCCAGCCACCGCCTTTTCTGCGACTGCTTCCTAAATACAGCGTGCATGTGTTTGCCTGTGAACGAGTGTGGGCCGGCTCCGTTGATGAAACGTTGCTCCCATCCACATGCCTCCCGGTATTATTCCTTCGGGTTTACATTGGATATGGGGTGTGTGGTTGGAGCTGTGTGTGGTGCAGCGAAAGCCACCTATGGTCCCTCTGTAGGCGCAGGCGTCCTGTGGTTAGCCACAGTGGCAAGCAAATCCGAAACCGGATGCCGCCAACTACATATATATATGTATGTATATGTACATATATATATATATTTATATATATGAACAATTGACCAATAAGCAATTGACGGAGTGTCACAACACATGGGTAACAAGGATAAAAGAATAAGCAAAAGGCGCAATCTGGGAAAGGGTTAGGTGTGTTCATGTGTTGCGTGAACAGAAAGCCTCCCGGTTGCCCAAGCCGAAAAAGACGGTTAGCTTAAGAGGCCCCACCCCGATCTTTTGGTCTTAAAGACCCGGCTCGCAAGGCAGCAGGGCGATACAAACATGTTGCCGGAACGTCCAACCAGCTGCTGAATATTAGGATAGTTGACATTCAAATAGGAGTCCACATAGAAGCCGGTAGGCAGCAGGGTTGTTAATCCGCGCTCCGTTAGGTAATCACCTCTAAGTACAGAAATGCGTGACTCGGTAGCCGATCACCTTGGCTTTGACACAGCGCCGTACGAGCTCTTGTGGCAATTGATGGAAAACCAGCCCAGAACGCCCAACGCTCTAGGACGTTGCCGTTGATTGTCCGCGACTGGTGATTCATCTCACCTGCAAAGCAAACGTGATTCATTCGCATTTACCTACACAATGAAGGAATTCCCCAATCCGCAATCTGAGGACGCGCCCGATAGCGTACATCTCCGCCACAGGAATCAGATGTCGTGGAATTATATAATAGGGAAGATCATCAATCAATACACATTAGTTGAGAGTGAGAAACACACCTTAGGTTATGTGCCGCAATAATAATAATAGGGAAATTTTATCACACGAGGATTTAAGTCGTAAAACAATATATCCGAACAATTCGTCGGACCACACAGCTGGCACCACGGGGGGGTTGGATGTTAGACCAGCCCTTGGAATCCAGCTTGCTTTCATCACCGGCAAATGCCAGATCGACATAATTACTGCAGCGTCGTCAACACACTGAACAGCAAGGCTAATGCAAACGCTCCACAGTAACCATGTTTTCTATCCCGATAACCGCTTTTCTGTTAACTGAACTAGCTGCTTATGATGTTGCGCTTAATCGAAAAGTACCAGGAAGATTTCCGGTCTGAAAGTTCCATCCTTCAGTTTAACGAATTGTGGACAAACAGGAAATTCTCTCATTAGCTCGCCCTGAAGATCACGGCAACTTTCTAGATAGGAGGTACAGGATCTTTGGCATCAGTGGTCAAAAATTCCATCAAAAACGGTAAGGTAGAGAAGTTAGGTACACACATGAATTTTATCCCTCACTCGCAATTACGGCAATTCAGTCTGACGTTTCTACTGCGTCCAGTACAATTCACTCGACATTCTGTTTCAGCTTTTGAGGTTTCCATCGTCCCTGCACTCCGGTAGGTCGGTATACTCGATAGAACGCTTTTAATTGCGTTGATATAGGAACACCATTAGACGCCGAAGTGTCGGTTTAGACTGAAACCATTATCAGTTTGGCTGTAGACGTTCATATTCCTTAATCGCTCGTGGAGCCTAATGCATCAGCGCGGCTAGAAAGCACCGACGCGGATTATTCATTTGAGATATGATAACACTGCAGAGTTCGGCCGACACGTAAAATCCAAACGATATGCTGTAGTATGCTTCGGAGCCGAAGTGTATTTGTTCGTTTCCCACATGATCCACTTCCTTACCCGCCATGCCTCCTGTTGAAGAAATCCCAATCAATCTGTTACATATTTTGGCAGGGGGACGTTTCGTTCCAAGATGCGCGTTGATCGACACAGACCCCCATACTATGGAAGCGGTACGCAGTAGTCCATATGGCCAACTTTTTCGGCCCGACAACTACACCATCGGCCGAGCAGGCACCGGGAACAACTGGGCCCGTGGACGCTACACGGATGGTGCGGAGTTGTGCGACTCCGCGATGGAAATAGTGCGAAAAGAGGTCGAAGGGTGCGATCTAGTCCAGGGATTCCAAATTATTCATGCATTGGGTGGAGGGACTGGATCAGGAATGACATGCCTACTGTTGCAACAAATCAAGGACAGTTGGCCGGATCGGATCGTGAATACCTTTTCCATTTTTCCATCGCCGAAGGTAAGTGGACGTTGAAGTCTGTGGGGAACCAAGAAAGGCTTGTACCACCAAGCTGGGTAAAATGGGTACGTTGGTGTAATCGTCATTTTGCATATGGGGCAAAACTTAGATACCATAAATCATTAGATTAGGTAAAAGAGGCAAGGCCAACGCGGCTGAGAGAATCTACTGTTGCCCTGAAATTGGAGGTGAAGATCAGTTCGTGTTTAACAGTGCCAGGATTGAGTGTTCGAGGTGGACTACGTATAAGGTAAAGTGTGAGCAAGCTTCCTTGTAATCGAGCCTATTCCAGAGTGCATCAGTTTACCGAGCGTCGCTCAAGAGGTCGATGGTTGGTTACATTTCTCCTTGGCACTGATGTGCTGTTGGCTGTTCGTGTCGTTGGACGCGCAGCGTGTGCAAATGAGAAGAGGAAGAACAAGGAAGTTGCCACATTCTTCGAGAACGAAGCTCATCGAATTTTACGTAGTGTCAAGCCTAGTTTCCTTGGTAATTTTATTTTGTAAACAGATGATGCATGCGTAAGCCGCGCCCACAACAGCATTCCCATCGGTAATTGAAACCGATCATCTGTATCATACACTCCGGACACTTATTGTCTGCTATTTGTTAGGATCTATACAAGATGAATCAAGGGAGACTCGTTCCTGGTACATCCAATGAAATGCAACTTTTATTTTCGGGTGCGCCGTACGTGCTCAACCGCTCGTAGTATGGGGAAGAGAACTCGGTTGCAAAGCTGAAAACAGTGTTGCATGGGCAGCAGATATTTACACCTCCAACCAGACAACCTGTTACAGCGCTTGAAAATATTTGTCGAGAAGAGCTGTATTACGTAGAAACAGCCACCGAGTTTTCGAGTTGTGCTTAGTAGATTTAATCCCCGTGCAAATCTGTGATTTTCCTAGTGGGTAACCTCTGCTAATGCGTTATCTTACCGCAGGTTATGCGTACAATATAGCCACAAACTTCTGCATTATTGCAGATAAAAACAGTTAGATATTGTGATAATATGCTGAAGTTCACAAGATAACCAGGGAGGTAACATCTGTGGGGCGCTGTGGATATTTCAAAACGGTGTTCCAAGACTAGCTAACGTAAATAAACGCAAACCCTGTGAGACATGATTGATGCTTCTAACATGTACGACACAAATGCAGATAGATGGTGTTTATTCTGAACTGTCTTCGTTTCCCAGGTCTCGGACGTCGTAGTGGAGCCGTACAACGCTATCTTCACGATCGACGTGCTACTATCACTCAGTGATGAAACGGTAGTTCTTGACAATGAGGCTCTTCACAGTATATGCACTAATGTGCTGAATATTTCCGCGTCATTTGGAGATATTAACCATCTCATGTCTACATGTGTCGGTGGAATGACCACGTGCTTCCGATTCCCCGGTCAGTTGAACTCAGATCTGCGAAAGCTAGCCGTCAATATGGTTCCATTCCCGAGACTGCACTTTTTCGCCCCTTGTTTTGTTCCACTGGCAAGTCGTGGTAATCAACCTTACAAGGCGATTACCGTGCCCAACCTGGTTCAACAAATGTTTGACGCTAAGCACCTGATGGCGTATTGTGACCCGCACCAAGGCCGCTTCCTTACTTGCGCTTCTGTGTTCCGAGGCCGTATGAGCATGGCCGAAGTGGAGGAAAGTATGCTGAATGTGCAAGACAAAAATTCACGGTACTTCGTAGAGTGGATTCCGAACAATGTTCAAAACGCCGTGTGCGACATACCAATGCGTGGGCAAAAGATGTGTGCAACGTTTCTGGCGAACACAACCGCCCTACAAACGGTGTTTCGCCGTATTCAACAAGCATTCTCCGCCATGTACAAACGGAAAGCATTTATGCATTGGTACAGTGGGGAAGGGATGGATGATGCAGAATTTCAATCCACCGAGTCTAATGTGAACGATCTGATTGCAGAATACCAAGAATATCAAGAAGCTACAGTCAGTCTCTAATTTTGGCACTATTTCATCTCTTCATTTCATGTAAAACACGGTCCCAACCGTGTTCAATTTGTTTTGAGTTCAGTTTGATATGCGAAGATTACAATCAGTTCATCTTACTCGTTGTTATAAAAGAATGCAGACAAGAAGCCATATGACGCGAGGACGAGAGAGCAAAGGTGGGAAGCAAATAAGGAAGCGGGTTTGCAAATGGATGGACATCTTGACATTGGGAAGGGCATAAGCGAAATCCTTCGTTAGATACTCACCACAAGAGCTTGGTTCGAACAATCGTGTGCCGACAAAAATCCGTCAGTTACATTACTGAAAAGCTGGTGCAGTGCATTAGCTAAACTAGAGTAACGCGTGAAGGTGGACCCAAACAAAGGCTAGGGGAAGAAGGATAAACGAGCCACCGTCGATCGGACGGTGGGGCAATTCGAAAACAACTGCATTTCTAGCTGATTTACAGATGGATGGATTTGCGCGTAATTAGGTGTGCTCATCTATGCAGACACAAAGATTTGGGTAGTAATTTAACTTCGTCATACGGTATATGGTACTTTCATTTAGGGTAAAGCCCCAACGCAATAAATTAACCGCCTCAAGTAAGTTCAATGAGTATAAAAGACAAAGGTTTCAGCAAAAAGTCAGTAGATGAGCTTCGTAAAACTGTGGAAGCATATGGTGAAAGCAGCCCTGTCGTCTAGAGGGCTCTATGAGCGTTAAGTGAAAGCGTGGTGATACTGGTAATAGAAGAAGTTCTGATTCCAGTTATTCTGCGTTGTAAGAACGCCGACACGCAAACGACACGGCTGTAATGTATACACACGACCAAGTCACCTGGCAACATGCCAGGCAGCGATACTCAGGAAAGTTTCATAGAACAACAAATAGCATTGAATAAATTGCGTTCGCTTGGTCACGTACTACGTATGCGTGATCACCGCTTACCGAGCAGGGCCTTGTTTAATTTGCCAGATGTAGGGTGTCGCAAGGATCGAGGTGGATAAAAGTTGACTTGGCAGTGGAAAATGAAGCCAACGACGACCAAACTCGGTGCCGTTGGCCCGTGTCGTCTACCAGGCTGAGATCCACGCGACCCGCCTTGTGACGTTACAGAACATGACCCGCAATCGGCACCAGTGGCGTGTTTGCTGTCGTCTCCTAGTCGAACTGCCTGTTTAAATTGTTTTTGGTACTGAGTTATCTGCAAGGCAATAGTTGATTATGATGTGGGGGAGTGAAAGCCGCAAGGAAACTGTCTCGCTGATGCCGCCTTACCTTTGCACAATAACCAGCTGTTTGTGACGGTATGTTGTTGATAACGTGTAGACGCCTTGATCCTGAATGTTTGTTTAGGGCATTAAGATTTTTAGGTAAGTCCCGCTTCTCTCCCTCTTTTTATTCTTTGTTTCGTAGGTCGTTATGGTTGTGTAGCAGCGAAGCATCAGTACAAATGGCTGATGTAATACTGTAGCAAAGAGCGCACGTTGAGGCAAGCCAATCTCAACGAGGATCAAGGACTCCAAAGGCGAACGGAGGAATTGACCTTGTCCGCCTGGTTGAACATGGACTTGTCGACTGGACTGGAGCGATTTCCTGCGATTGTGTGCGAGTTGAAACTAGTAGACAAGTGGCCATTGAAGCAAGTTAGAGAAGGTCGAATAATTGGGGGAGTGGAAACAGGGGGATAAAAGTGAAGTTGGGACCGGACGATAAGGATGAAAAAGCACCATAGGAGGAGAGGAAGAGGGAGGGAAGGCTTGAGTAGTAACATCCACACTCCTGCTGGATGCAGCAGATAAAGTGCAGTTTATCCTCTGCAACGGCCAGAGCAACAGGAAAATGTTTGAAGATAGATTCATTGTATTGCGTATGCAGGCCTGGACAGGAGAATGATTAGGATTCTCAGCCAAAGCCTGTGGTTCAAAAACCTGACCGCAAGGCAGTAGCATTGTTGTACTGAGCTATAAAGGGTTCGTTTTATGGAGTAAGAAGTCATACTTACTCCCAACCCCTAACACGTGGGCCAAGATACTGAGTTTGTCTGGACCCTAACCATTGAACAATCTGGTATGAGTGGTTCTGAAGGTGCGAAAACACCACCAAGTATAGTCCACTGGATCGCCGAGGGGCACGCAATCCATCGACCCATGTTAAGGTGCAGTCTCATCGCGATGGCTAAACCCTAGAGGAGCTATGTCGTCCGCGTACTTAAGATTTGTCAGTTGTAGACCTGGTAGAACCGAGTCATTCAGGACCACTTCGAGTATAGATGAAGAGGGGAGGGGAAGAGATATAGGACAACCTTAACGAACCCTACTTGTCGTGGAGAACTTAAGAGACAATCTCCCGTAAACATTTGCCAGACGTCGGGAGTCGTGCTAGAGAGACAACAAAATGGAAGGCAGTTTGGTTGGCAGGCCTTCACGGATAGGCAGTGCCACCGACTGGCGCACAGTCAACAGTCGAAAGCGGCTTTGCAACCAAGGAAAATCATCATAGTCGGTCATCTGTAAGTGTATCTCTGCTCTAAGACTTAACAACGAGTAAATATGTGGTCGATGCAACCACGACAAGGGCGGAAGCCAGCCTGACTTTCAGTGATTCGGCTATTGCGAGAATCAGTACGTTAAAAGCGAATGATAGCCCCGAGAAGTTTGGAGGCAATGGAAATAGGACTAGTGCCACGGTGATTTTCACACCAAGTCTGGTGACCCCATTTTGAAAATGGGTACGACAGTTGATATTCGCCAGTCTGAAGGCACATCTTCAGTATCCTAAGTAGGTCTGGGTAAAGAAGCAGGTCTAATGAACAAAGAGTAGCCACTGTCTTTCAGCAAAGATAGGAGAAGGTCATCGGGTTCAGGAGCTTCGTTTTATTTCAATATGACAAGCTCCCGTTGAATATCTTGCAAAGTGGGAAGTATGACCTCAAGTTCCCACGTCCACTCAGATGATTCACCAAACGACAGTGTAGAAGTAAGCCTGCTGTACCCCCTTCAACAGACTAGTCGACGCGACTGAGAATAGACCAACGGTTTAGCTTTGCCAGCTGTTGTCTCATTAACTGAAGGTTTTCTTGAACCCGTGTTCCGGATGGATTGGAACAGTACTCGGCTGGTCCCAATAGAACTTTGCCATTCACCAATGTGGAATACTAACTGAGCAACCAATGGATAACGGAATAGTGGTATTAGCGATGTTTAACATAAGGTACGCATCCAAGAATGCCAACACCATAGTTTATGTGCTGCATGGGATGCATCGTCACTGCAGTTATACACTACCTTTGTACGCATTGAGCACGTGTCGCCGGGTATTTTGCACCCACTACTACTTGATATATCAAGTTCGATTACGCTTGATGTAAATGTTGACAAGGTGCCTCATCATCACCATCACCAACAGCAATACGACGTGGTGTACGGGTCTCTTGACAGTACTAGGCTCAAAGAGTGGTTCTAACTTGTGTGAAATGAGCTACCGTCCAGTCAAGCTCCTTCGCAAGAGTTCAACGATGAGCGTCAGCAAAAATTGGTAAAAAACAGGACGCTAAGAAGAGGTGGAAACACTAAACGTACAGAAGCAGGTACCGTCGGCAGGTATACACACTCGATGGAGATGTATTGTTGTCAAAAATGAGGGGTCCTAGAATGTCGAGTGAACAAATGGTATATACCTAGAAGGGGGATACCAACCGTTAGTGATATGTGAATAGTAACGTCAACGGTTACCATGTGTGACTAAGAATTGACGTTTCCTTTTGCTTTAAGTTTACCGAATAAAAGTGAGGGAAAGTCAGAATCTTCACATCATCGATGTGGAAGGTCAGCAACCACGACTTCCAGCGAGTGCCGATATCCCAACCAAATGAGGTGGACGAAAGTACAACTGTATGGCAACACGCTGTCACAGAGTTTAAGCGGAAAGAACTCAAGAGAACGCAATATTCTAGGTGGTGTTAACGCGCTTGCAAAATCCGCCTTACGTAAATCTTCAACCCGAGAGCTTTAATCAGAGTAGATGTCTAAACAGAAATATTGTAACTAAAGAAAGCTCATTCGCGCTTTTGGAAGGGGAGTAGAAGAGGAAAGTGACCCGAAAAGTACGGGATATCGAGCTGCAATTATGAGAAATAAAAGAAGGCGTAAACCTGCCAGAAAGATATGTGTGCTTATAAATGTGATAGTCAAGAAGTCAATAACTAGTGGTCCAGGAATAAATGCGGATGCATTCGAAGCGAAGAGATATGATAGTTGAGAGAAGTGATGTCCAGCAGAGGTGGGATGAAAGAAACTTCGTAGGAACATCGTGTACGGTTCACGAGTAGTGTGTCCCAGAGGACGGGATAAGTACAGGGGAAATGATTTGTCTCTTGGTACAATGCTGAGATCGTGTGTGTTGTAGTTCACCTACCCAGGGTATAGTAAGCAATTTGGTGACTTGGGTAGATTGGGGAAATCAATATATAGGGAGGAGGAAGGCTTTCGTGATTGTAATCTCTCGGCTGCCAAGGTCACAAAATCACAAATGACCGGCAACAAGGAGAGAAGGGAATAAGGAAAATTGGCCATGAGAAGGCACCTAGTTGGTGGCTGGGAGAAGTCCATCGTTGGAAAAGCCGGTAGTGGTTGGCTTTGGCGGTAAACACAATTGAAAGGCACAGAATCAGGGAATTAAGATAGTAGCACTCAATGACTGCGAGGGGTGGATGATATAACGGACCCCATTGGAGTCTGTGTGTCGGTTGGACTCCGGACTTCAGATTTAAGCCGCACAAATTCGCGAGCAATTTCATCCTGTGGACGTTGTGACAAGATGCGTAAAATCGTCCAGCCGGTATCGTCCATATGTAGTCGTTTGCCCAAGCTGCACAGACAGGCACAAGCGCCACTTCCAGCTGAACTACCTCTAGAGGGCAAATTACCGGTGTCGAGATCCCGTAGCTGGAGAACAGTCAAACCAATGATCCGATCGGAGCGCCCGAAACAGTAGTCTTTGACACAAAGTTGTAATTCGTATGATTCCGGGTCGGAACCAGCTCCTAGCATGCTGGAAAATAGACAAATGAGTGGAGATTACACTTCGCACGGATAATTCATATGCAACTAAACATGGGAACGGAAAACTACCTAATATCTGAATGAGCAAAAAGTATGAACCCAATAAATTAGCGACATTGCGGAAAATGCCCCGTGTGTTGTAAGAATAACACGATCTCCAGAGTGTGGAAGATTTAAAACTTGGTAATAAAATGGTAAGCACAAAGTTGCAAGTGGAAAATGGAGTATACCGAAAAACATAAGCGCCTGACAGGCCCATAATCCCGGTCCAAGGCCGAAAAATCGAAAGTCACCAGAGGTTGATTAACAGCCGATCACTTCTAGAAGAAGGAAGGAAAAACTGCGGCAGACATCCGAAATAAAAAAGGCCCGGAAAGAGCGAATAGCGACCGCTTCAACCAATCACCATTGCTTCTGAGCCTTTTGTCGAAACAATCGCATTATATTAGAGGTGGGCTCAATTGCTTACAGAGAGAAGTTGCGAGGCAATATCCGTCGAGGGATAAAGTTGCCTTAATTGATGCATACATGATGAAATACAGTTGACCGGTCGTTTATTTATGATAACGAACGCAACACGGGCGAGAGGTTTGCAATTCCTTGAACGCACCGAATCCCGGATGTCGTCTACGTATCAGGGGTGCATCCGAGGAAAATAGCACGGTAAACAATGGCCAATCAGCCCAATACATGGTGGATTGTTAAGCTAAGTTGTAGCGATACTGGTGCAGCTGTGTTGGGATCGCGCGCGAAGGTAAACTACCGATGACATGTCAGCTTCAGCACCTACATAAAAAAGTTTTACTCAATCGCTCAACCCTAGATGGAACGCCAATGAAAATCGAATAATATATGGTAGCAGCAGCAGCATAGAACAGTGAAGTAAAAGGAATAGTAGTAAAAAACCTAAACCGACACCTTAAGAAGTGCAACCATTCTGGGAAGTTGAGATAGCTTTATGGCTACTGGCTTATCATGGCCGATCGCGGAGGTCGCCTTCAGTAAACCACCGTGCTCCAATACCCTGAGCATTTTTACTTAGGTGATGCACAGAGAGGAAATGCAGTTGGTCATTTAGCTACGCCAGCAACCATTGGTTTATGTGCAGCATCGTGGGCTGCATCGGTTTCGGAACGAGATTTGCATGAAGTAGCCGTATCCAAGCGATTGAAACAAGTGTAGTAAATGCTTAGAAAACGATCACATACAAAGGGGCTCATCATAAAATCGTATGGTGCACATTTCTGCATAGCTGTTGGAAAGACCTGTTCACGAGCGTTGTTCCATAACAGCGTTACGGTAAATGCATACAATCTGGATGTGCCATGCTGCTTGCACACGCCCAGTATGAACGGTGGATGCGGCTCCCATCAGTCTCCCGAGTCATTAATGACTAATTCGCACAGTGACAAGTCTGGGACGAAAATGCAGTGGAACGACGGTGTGTGGAGAAAGTCGCGTGTGGAAATGTGGAAGCACTTGTATTGAACAGAGTGAAAATGAGTCTGTGTTTAAATATTGGCATACATGAACCTATTATAGGTACCCGATGGCTGCTGGAGTCCACGGAAGAAACAGTGATGACAAGGAAGCTAAAGATGGATGATAATCCATTCAAAGGTAAGCCTGAGATAAACATTAGAAGACGAAATAGAGCAACTTACAAGGTGAATGTCTCGGAAAACTTTGGAGACCAAACGTTTGCCTTTGTCTTAGTAGAGAATCGGTGTTTCTTATCGGCAAGCAGCGGTCCGACGAGTACTACTTCAACGAAGGGTTTGAAAGTGCCTGTGTTCACCCATTTTAAGTTGTTGGCTGCAAGGACTAAACAAGGAAAAATTGTTTGTAGAAAAGCAGTTGGAAATCGACAGGAACGAGTACACAGATAGACAGCGGATAATAGCTTACCTGTGACCGTGACCTTGTGTTCACCGTGTGACGGATGACGATAAAGATCAACCTGTATAGACACATCCCCCACGCTGTCCTCAATTGCAGGTTTGTCTGGAGAGTAAAGGAAAAAGAAGAAAAGTTTAACAATCTGGGTTAACATGTATTTTACATGGATGGAGACGTGAAACGGTGCGAACAGTCGCATAAGGGCCAGACGTCTGACTTCAACGGACCCCAATTAGCAGCCATTTAAATCTCTCTGCTGTTTACTTACACACTAAGTGTTCACATAAACAGCGACTTATGCTCATCGTACTTGCCGTCTACACAACTACAAGTGCGCTTTGGAATTCCGCCAGGCTGACAACTATTTTTAGCTCGGGCGATCGTTTGCCGATGTTCGCACCCTCAATCTGCCCGAATGTGTTGACGGCACTGTAAGGATGGATGCGTACGCCTCAATCAAGATCACTACACTGTTCTGTGACTTGACGAGGTGCATTGGCGCTGTGAACATCTCCAAACACGTCGGAATCAGGCTGCTAAGCCGGATGTTTCTAGGTCCCGGGAGGTGTTCACTACTCGTCTCATGATGTGGGATAATGACTCAGTTGCTGCCGCTTAGACAACCGTGAAGATGAATAAGTGATATTATAGCAAAACGCGCGTAAAAGACCAAACGGAGGTAGTCAGAATAAAACAAAACGGACTGAAAATAAATAGGTGACAATGAAAGGTTATGACGCGCAAGTGTCATTGACTGTTCTACAGCACCCTTGGGGTTCTAGACACCGGTGTGGTCGGTCTCCTTGTCCGCAACTGGGGGAGTGTCGTACACTAATAAAACTCAGGGGGATGACCAAATTTTCATGGACGTGTGCCTTATTAGTCCTTGATTGTGGAAGAATAGCACTGTGGAGGCGACAAAATAGGTGAAAGTGCGACTGGGAGGGTGATGAACAAAAGTGCGGAGTACATAGCATAGGCAGTATAGTCTGTGTGCGTAATATAACGCCTGGTCGCTGCGATTGTCTTAGTAGGCTCGAACGATACGGACCCCAAGTAAACTTGTACCCCGAACTGGACGGAACACAGTTGTCGATACCGGTGAATTAGACGGAACGCACTAGTCGATACTAGAGCTGTGTACCGCTTGCCACTCGCACACAAATCCCCTAGAGAAGAAGACTGGCCTTCAGCAGATTAGTTTTACGACCAAGCGGAAAGTCGACTAAGTGGTCGCACAGCCTCAATTTTATACCGACACTGGCTATATAGACTGCCGAGACCAATACGAGGAAAAGGGTCCCAGTAATGGTGGGCGGGTATGTGACAAGAGAATTCATACACATCGCTGTGGGTATCGGGGCAAGTGAAGTGTGGACGTGTCAAACATGAGTGTTGGTGTGTCTATACCATTTAACAATTGACTGCATCCTTAAGGCAATCGCTTTCATCCGTAGTGCAGAAGTTTACATCCTTAGAAAAAACATAATTCGATAGTCACGAAAATTGCATCCACGACGTCCTGAGTGGTTAAACGCTATCAGCCAATAGCATTCAGATAATAAGCGCAGCTGATTCCAAGTTTAGTATTTGTGCCGCCAAAGCAACCACAAGGTCTCTATGCGTTTTCAGCGACCCACTCACGTGGTTAGTTGGCTGGTTATTAGCATACCCATTGAAATTGAGTATGCGACGCGCATAATTTCACTTCGTATCTGTCCGTAGATAAGACGCGTGGCTAATCCGCCTTCATAACATCGGAAAACCGTTTGTCTTTGGCTACTGTGAATCGTTTCTGGATGACCCGAATAGGTGTGTCAGTGAAACCAAAACGTATGCTCTCCGGTATTTTAGAGGCTCATCTACCCAAAAATTGTTATGAGGATCAATGATTCCCGAAAAGATCACGCAAATCTTGATACAGACATCGTACTCTTGCGAGTTCACCGTCTACACCATTTTCCATAGATTGTATCGGTTGATGCCTTGCTACACGAACCTCACCTATCCGCTCGTCTAGGTGCGCACCGGCAGTGTCACATGTTGAACAGCAAGTCAACATTACTCACTCTGGCCATTCGTGCCTCACCTGTACCTGCCTCAAACGCACATGACGTATGCTCTCTCAAGTCCTCTTTGTGATACCGCTCAAGCCAGGAAAGTGTAACCCCGTGTTCCGGACATGTTAAATGTCACATCTGCGTTCGTCCGGAACTGTGCTGACTTCGCCTTACCTTAACATACAAGGCTTTGGGATTTGGAGACAGTTCATGAACAAACACCTGCTTCCACCGCCCTTACTATCCAATGCAGGTGCGCACCTAGACGAGTGGACGGCCGAGGTCCATGTAGCAAGGCATCAACCGATACAATCTATGGAAAATGGTATAGACGGTGAACTCGCAAGAGTATGATGTGTGGATCAAGATCTGCGTGATCTTTTTGGGAATCGTTGATCCTCATAACAATTTTTGGGTAGATGAGCCCCTACAATACCGGAGCGCATACGTTTTGGTTTCACTGACACACCTATTCGGGTCATCCAGAAACGATTCACAGTAGTCAAAGACAAACGGTTTTCCGATGTTATGAAGGTGGATTAGCCACGCGTCTTATCTACGGACAGATGCGAAGTGAAATTACGCGCGTCGCATACTCAATTTCAATGGGTATGCTAATAACCAGCCAACTAACTACGTGAGTGGGGCGCTGAAAACGCAAAGGGACCTTGTGGTTGCTTCGGCGGTACCTATACTAAAATTGGAACAAGGCATAGGGGATTAACATGGACTCTGCGCATGGATGACAAGCAAAATTGTGAAGCATTTTATTTTGTGATCAGCTGGCGGGGAACAGCGCTCGCCGCATTGACTCTTCAAGCTTCTTTACCGGGTCGGTTTGCCCCGTGGATCGCTATTTGCATACCAAAATTTTGTCTTATCTGTTATCGAATTCGGTTGCTTACCAGAGTCTGAAATTGTGTATAGCGTAGACGCGCCTAATCTGCATTTTGTTGAGAAGTTTCCTAATTGTCCCCAAATTCGGTCGATCGATTCACCAAGTTGTCATCTTATATGCTAGGCTGTTAGTAATGATGAAGCAAACTGCCTGTAGTGGTTGTTGCAAAATGGTCTGACATAGAGCCAATGCAGTTGCCTGCTTTAGGTGTTATGTGAACATTCATTGTACATGCAATGGTTTATTCAGTGACCAAATTAAGCTTCCTCCTAGGATTCATCACGAGTTTGTCCAGATATTTTGTAAGAAGTGCCAGAGCAAAATGTAGCTAGAAAAGATCGATAAGCTTAGCGAACTAGCAAGAAGGGCAAATATTCCGCAGTGAGGAGCTCGGTGTGCGCATTCCAAAAAGCAGATATACAACCAATCCAAAGTTCGAACGAGCCCCCTTGTCTACCGGTTGTAAGCTCTCCGGAACGATGTTCACTCGTTACTGTAGGTACCAATTGGTGTGCCTGTGTTGTATCCTCCAGCGCTAACGTCCCGGTGTGCAATGGCGTAAGCAAGGAAGGCCATTGGAAGAGCTAAGGAAAGAAGAAAGTGAGGGCAAATGCCAGCGACCAGAGGCGCAACAACTTGTTTTTACCTGTTACCTGATACTAATCCGCTGGCTCGCCATGATGAGGTCAAGTTTCTGCAGAGTCGGACTGAGGGACTTAAAGTGGATGAACAGTCGTTGAAGGTAAAAAAATCACCAGTCTTTGAAAGAAGGATGAGAAGACGCTGCCTATGTGGGGCACTTTTGTTAGTGGAGGCAGACCGAGGCAGATACTATCTCGCCTCAGTACACCAAAAGACCCAGATCCAACCAGATATGGATCCGCTAAAGCGCGAAAAACTTACCTTCGCTATCAATGACCTAAAGCGGCGTAATGATAGTAGAGAAACCAACCAAAGCATTGTGAATGGTCGGATTGTTCCAGGGGTTAGCCGAATCAGAATTAACAGGTCAGTGACGCTTCATGCGCGCCTAAAGGTTCCAACGACTGCATGCACATAGCCCTCTCTAATGTTTTTAGTTGTATGAACAAATGTGACCATCGGTGTTACTTCGTCGTCTCTCGGCAGCGGGGAGTACTAGAAATGACTAAGACCTGGTTGAAACCTGAGGTAAGTGCTCAGGAAGTACGGCTGAGCGGTTACTTGTGCTTCCGTCGAAACGAAACTGAACCATAACGTGGTGCGACCGTTTGCGTACCTCCGCAACTCATTGAGCTAAGCTTAGTGGCATATCCCAAGTGCCCTTAGAGCTACTCATACCAGGCAGGTCAAAGAATAGGGGTCAGACTAACTCAGTCTCACAACCCAATTCTCCAAGGAATTTAGGGAGGCCTCCTCTTTTAAAACCTCGCCATGGAAGACATTAAGTCTACTGGTTATAAGCTCACCGCCCGATTAGCATACAGCACGAAGGGCACGCATTGTCACTGACGGTAGGAGGGCACCCCGGGTGCTCAATGGTTTACTACTGCCCGGCTCAAGCCAGGCAGCTCCTGGTCAAATTGGTCCAAACCCGCCAAAACCCTCTTGCGTCTGGCAGTGGTCGCAGGTGTGTATCTTATTACGGTTGAAAAACACAAATGAATTGTTCCAGAAGTTCAAAGGCTGCGTGTGAGCGAGGTCAAGCAAATCCAAATCTTGAAACATTGTGCCCCTTTACCCATTTGGTCAACGCAGACAGAAGACAAAGGTTGCGATATGTTAACATTTCGATTACTCTCATCAGTCGCAAACGTAATACATTTGGGTAAAAAGTTTAACGTATGTGCATGTGGAACGAAATTATACGGGTAAATCAAAGTTGAGCAATCAAGACCAAGGCAATCTGATAGATTGCCTCAGTTGCTTTTGTGCGCACAGCACTGGCCGGTTTACCGCAACCAGTAAGGCCTCACTGATTGCCAGCACTTTCAAGCTGCGGTTGATCAATAGCACTTTGAAGGCCAATCTGTCTCTGCAATCCCATTTCCGAGCTAGATCTGCTCCCCACTGCCTTGTGGATCAGGATTTTAAGCCAAAGGCTCCAAATGGAATCCATCAAGCGAACTTCCATATCTCCCACCGGCTTGTGGGTCACAATGTTGAGTCAAAGGTTCTAGGTGGAGTCCCTCAAGCGAACCTCCATGTACCCTACTGTCATGTGGGTCAGACTGTTAAGTCAAAGGCTAGATTCAGGGCATCACGAACAAAACCCTCTCGGAATGGGCAGCCGAAGAGTAAAGTCTACTCTCTCGAACCCATCGACAATACTCCCATTTCTTCTTCTTCTTCTTCTTCTTCTACTACTACTACTACTTCTTCTTCTACTTCTTCTCGTTCCATCTCATCTCAACTATCTCCTTGGCAGTCCATTGAGAAAGAGACTGACCGCCTTCCAGGACTCGTGTTTTGGATGAGTTGGCATAGCACTGGCTTTCTCCATCTCACGGACCGTAGCCACCCACTAACATTCCCGGTCGATTCGAAGATTCTCTCAGTCGTCTTTTAAAGGTGTTGCGGATACGCTGAAACTCAGTGCACATTGGCACCAGTTTCCGTGGTCTGATCAAACAGATCGATGCCTCAGAGAACCATTCAAAATTAAAACGTCTCAAGTTGGGCGCACAGCATGCGTCAAAAGCATTCTTAATGATACACCTGAGACGATCCCAGTCAGCATTAGGCTCACTAACCTCATTAGTCACTGACAATTTGTGGGCCAGTTCGTTATGACATTGGTGAACCGCAGATTAGAAGTTACAGTTACAGGTAAGATAGGAGTTTCTTTGAAGTGAGAGGTGAGTGCCAGGCGTGCGTGTACTAAAGCATGGTCAAAATCCATGCATGTGTCCCGTACTGACCGACAGTATAGGTCTGATGCGCGTCATCTGCAGCTGATGGCTATATAATCAATTTGGGTCCTGGTCATTAAGGAATTCCGTGGGCGCCAGGTGACGCGGTGTGAAGGTATGCGCTGGAAAGCATTGCGGCTATGGTAAAGCTTGTGGCTGGCGCACAGCTGCAGGAATCGACCATTGTCTGGTCGGTGTGCATCGACCCCGAAGCATCCTCCCAGGTGTTGTTCAGATTGTGAAAAGTACCCAATTGGGCATTCAAGTCATCAGCAGTAATAAGGTTGTCAGTATCTTTTGCCATGCAGAGAAGAGAGGACAGCTGTTGATAAAAATCTTCCTTAATACTTCAGTCAGTAAGAGTATAAACGGAGGCGATGAAAAGGCACTTCGTCTTCAGACAGTGCTTATTAACCTCAACAGAGGTTCGAAGTCGAATCGCACACATACGGCAATTCACCGGAATCCAGTCGAGCAGATTATCTTCAGCGTGTTTGCTGATGGGGATATCTACACACAGCCATTGTCAGTACCGTCAGAAACCCGAAGTGTAGACATTGTCTTCGGATTCAGAACCAGGGAGTCGAAAATTTGTTACAACGGTTATATTGTATAAGTGTTTCGGAGACACAGCACACATCAATACCACGTGGGTGAAGAATGAGCGTCAGTGCTGCGTGCTGGCCGATCTGACCTATAGTGGGGAACTTAAAAGAAGGAATGTAGAATGCAATTCTAGTTTCGATGGAAGAGCTACACGTATTGAAGGCAGCAGATGCGAGATCAGCGGCAGTTTCTTTACCGATATGCAGCGAAGATGGTTGAGATGAGAGGGAAAAACGAGAAGAAAAAGAAGGGGCATTGTCGAAGGGGTCGACAGAACAGATGTTACTCTTCGGCTGCCCATTCCGAGAGGGGTTTTGTTCGAGGTGCGCAACCTCTGGTCTTTGACTCGACAGTTTGATTCACAGGGCTCAATAGCGTAAACATGCTACTACTGGCGTCTCCCTCCTTTCTTTTCCACTAAGTAATCTTACTCCTCTTCCAACTCACATTGCTAACCTTCCTTCTAGAATTCCCAGCTCAAACGACAGCAGCTGCAATGCCGCTAAAGCTCTGCTATCTGCAGCTATGTTCCAAAACCACCCAATGGAAGCCAGTCACCAAAAGCTCCTTATAAGTCCACACTGCCCCGTTTCTCTGGTGTCGTTCAACGTTCGAACTCGGTCAACTAAACCTACCAGGATGCAGTGCGTACGGAACTTTTGCTCCCTTGTCCTAATGACAACGAGCTTCAGTGGAATAGGATTTCGGCAGCCATGCTTGTGGCACTATCAATGGTCACTGTACCAGTCACTGGATATCCGACGGGTCAGTGAACCTGTTGGAATCCAGAAGTAAACTCTCGGTCGACTCTGATCATAACGCAATCAGACGGACTATTAGGCACGAACTAAAGCTGAGTCAGCGTGCTGACAAAGAAGCCTGGTAGACTAGTAAGGCGCAGGAAATGGAGGAAGCAGGAGCAGACAATTATCGTAAGCTCTTCCAAATGATCCATACAACTGGTCCCAGGAAACCAGGCATCAGTGAGACAATCAGAGACATCGCGGATGCCGTTGTTCACAATGAGGGGTACCGCATGGCACCTTTGGAGAGCAGTTCAGTTGGCCCCCTACTCCTGCGCATGCGATGCAGGCTGAGCTATGGGCGGCTAGATTAGAGGTTCCGTCTGAGGCTGAAGCCTGAAACGCTATAACAGCTCTTAATCGTACTCGTGCTGCTGACCCGGATGACCTCGCACCCGTACTACTTAAGGATGGTAGTGAGGTCTACCGCAAAGCACTAACCTCTATGTTCGAACAGATCTGAAAGGAAGAGGCCATCCCAGATAAGTGGAATTATTCGACTATAGTGGCAATGTACAAGAAGGGAAGCCGCACCGAGAGTGCTAACCACAGGGAAATTAGTTTAAGGTTGTAGGTAACAAAATTACAGGCCTAAATTATCGTTCCTCGCCTCAATGTGGAACGAGAATCTCGGATTATAGAAGTGCAGGCAGGCTTACACCCAAGACGTGGCTGTATAGACTACATATTCATTCTGCGGCAGGTGATGGAGCAGCGCCATACATACCGCAGGCCGACAATGGCTGTGTTCCTCGACTTCAAGTGCGTCCGATTCAGCCGATCGATCCGTGCTGTTCGAGATATTGTGCAGAAAGATGTTGCCATGAAATATGCGAACATTTTACGTGCAGTGTACACTGACACCACAGGCAGCGTCAGGGTTTACGGTGACTTATCAGTTATCTTCCGGACAACAAGTTGCGTTCGTCCGGGTTGCTAATTTCCCCATGTTTTTCCAACTTCAACGTACACTGTATCAGAAAGTGTAACTTGGTGGAGCCTCAAAGTGAAGGTGTTGAAGTGGCGCCTGGTGAAAAGCGAGCTGAGCTTGATTATTCGGACGATACAGTTTTGCTTTTAAACGACTTTGGGGAGGCCCAAACAACCTTGAATAACCACCCTTCTAGAGTGGTTAAATTAGTAGGCATGAGCGTCACACCTTCAAAGTGCAAAGTATGCAAGTGTGCAAAGTGTTGTTACATGACCCCTAGTCATCTGATGACCCCATGACCAGTGATAGCAAGGAACTCGAGGCAGTAAAGCAATTCACTTATCTCGGCATCTGCATTAGGAACGATGGGCGCATAACTACTATAAGATAGTTCATGTACTGCAAAAGCTAGAACGGCCATCTTGAATCTGTGACATCTGTGCCGTCAAAAAGATGTTTCCCTCGGTCCGAAAGGCTGTATCTACAACGCCACAGTAAAGACCGTCCAAGTTTATGGAAGTGAAACAAGACCCCTTCAATCTGGGGACCTGCGGCGTCTTCAAGCTGTCTGCACTTCTGGTATCGGATGGCACAAGCGTATTCGCAACGATGATGTGTGTAGGTGAATGCTAGACTGTGATAATCATGCTAGATCCTTAGAACAACAGATAACACTGAACAAATTGCGTTGACTTGGTCACGTACTACGTGTGCCTGGTCAGCGCTTACCGAGGAAGGCCTTTTGTTATTTGCCAGATGCAGGTTGTCACAAGATTTGAGCTGAACAGAAGTTGGCTTGGTAACGAGAAATGAAGTCACTGACGACCAAACTCGGTGTCTTTAGTCCGTGTCGCATTACACGCTGGAATCCACGTGACCTGCCTTACGCTTGGCTCGAGACGTTACAGAATATCACCCGCAATCGGCCTCAGAGGCATGTTTGCTGTTGCCTCTAGTCGGACGGCTTGTTTAAAGCGTGTTTGGTGCTCAGTTATCTGAGGGGGAAATAGCTAATTATGACGCGGGGAAGTGAGAGCCACAAGGAAGCTGTCTCGCCGATGCGGCCTTACCTTTGCGCGACAGTCAGCTGTTTGTGACGGTATGTTGTTGACACAAGGTGTGTGCGCTTTGATCCCGAATGTTTGTTTAAGATATTAAGGTGGGCTGCCCTACTCTATCTCGAATGTTACCAGTCCGTGGTGAAGACTACGAAGCTGCGGTAACGATCGACGTGACTAAGTTACTAAATGTTAGATAGTGTTGTTTCTTACCCAACCCCAGTTGATCAGTGGTTTTAACTACACATTGGTAACAGTGGAGTTGCGGGTTCTAGTCTCACAGAGTCGAGATGAAATGCGCAATACTCACGATTCCATAGGGGATGAAACGATCGGACAGTGTCTTTTCGGGCGTGTAATGGCTGCCTATCTGAGTCTAGATGTGAGAAATTTCTACACACATCACTACTTCTTTGAAATCGTGATATGTAAGATTGACCGATAATGGTAGGTAACAGCGAAATCTACTGTGCTTTAAAGTAAGTGCATGAGTAAAACGTCACGTTCGCAATCGTTGCCATCAGAAGTTGAACTTGGCACTCATTAAATTACTACTACACAATGATCGTGCGAGCCATCTACTAAAATATATATCTGTATGTGCATTGGCAGGTGGATTCGAGTCATCTTACCAACAGGGTGCACCATAGGCAGCTGTAGATAGAATAGGCTTCAAATTCAAAGTAGCGGGTCTGTGCAAACTGACCTTGTGATGTCTGTGTGGCCACAAAATTCTTGATCAGTGCATCAGTAGTCTGAGTGTACAAAGACAAGGCGTACCGAAGGGACTGCAATTCCGGTGATTTATCAAGGAAGCTGCTTTTTAACCCACTGCCACCAGCATGAAAGTAGGTTTTTATTGCGTCCAAAGCAATGTTCAAAATTTGGCAGTGCAGCGGAGTAAGATTGCGTTCAGATATACCGGCCTCCTTGGATATATCCTATGGGCAAAGATGAGATGATATTTAAGATGGGAAAATCTCATTGCACGCAGGGTCAACCAACATGATCAAGAATACAACTAGTCTTAGGGAATTATCCTAAATGAAACAGATAAACAAAATAGCGCCTACTAATGCCACTCAACAATGAAGTTAAAAAACAGACGGACTTGGAAATGGATGAAAGAAGGAGAAGGGAACATTGGAATGAGACAATCAGAGGTTCTTGGGCATGGACAAATATGCCATCAGCATCCAATTGAAGCGGCGGACGGGGGGAGACTGGTATCACTAGCTCAATCAAATTGCATGAACCCCCTACCATCATCCAATATCCTGAAGCACATTTTCGGTCTTTCCAATTCCGTCGTACATCGCTACAACCTATACGTGTTATCTCCGTGTATGATAGAATGCAGACGTTGCCATCATTTGTGCACAGCCCACTCTTTCTATCTCTCTCTCTCTCTATATATATATATGTATGTATATATATATATATTTATATATTGCAACAGTCTATGAATAGACACTGAGCCATCGGAAACCATGGAACCCGAAACAAGGTACAGAAATAATAAAAGAAAACACAACACATCGAAATCCATGGTTTCCTCAGAGGGCGAGATACTACCCGGCTGCCCAAGCCGAAGTAGGGTGTTGATTTAGGGGACACCACCCCAAGCCTTTGGCTGAATAGCCTGCCCGCAAGGCAACGGAGCGAATTCAGGGAATCGTGCCCATTTGGAGCCGGTGACTAATTGCTCAGTTTATACGCCTTTCGTTTGTTCCTTTGTCAAACAGGGGTCCAATGCTCCCCAAAATTACAGCACAAACTTGCTGGAATACAGTGCTTCGCCAGGATGAAGCAAGGGGCACAGCCCTCTAATGCAAGCGGAAGCCGCTCTGTGTCCCAAAAGTGTAGTGAATCCAAAGCACACTGAGTCTTTGCAAGCGTGAACATACACCCTATTCCAACAATATAACTAAACATGGTTCATCATCCAGGATGGTCAGAGAGAACAGATAGAACTAGATAACCCGAAGCAACAGTTAATGCCTTGCTTTGCAGGCGAGCAAATTGTATAGAAAAATGGAGCCATTATAGACAACTCGACCGCAGTGGACGACACTGCATGGGCGTTGTAGGATCAGACAATGCTGTTTATATGTAGGCTTCCAGAAAATGTTGTAGGGATCACTGGTGAAGGCGCCTTCATGGTATTCGAATAAACCCGTGCCAAACAACTCTTGTAAAAAGTATTCATTGCTAGAACGCGGATACGGAGATTAACCGTGTGATACAGTCTGCAGAACTTAAATAACGAGGCTGGGATCCGCAAGCTTTCACTCGACTAGGAATCAGCATCCCCGTCCTGGCGAAAGACTCACATATTCTTCTCTTGTGGCGACGGGTGCTGAATACTTGAGCGGTGGAGAAAATCTGAGGCCACACGATTCGCTACAGCCTGTATTTGTCCGATCATTCGACAGCCCTTCACAAATCGGAACAAACACCAGCTGTGCATCGTGTGTGTGCACTTAGATGGCGCAGGCAAACGCAGAAGACCTCAGTACCATTGTTGGCCAAACTGGAGTGACTAACCCATGCTTATGCAAGTGGTTGCTTATGGTCTCATGAGCAGTGGTTGATCCCAACAACTTGTACGTATAGAGGACACATTACTTCGCCACCCCACCAACCTGATGGGGCGAATCAAGAAGTAAAGTAAACAGAAAGCACTTACAGCCTCAACTGACGTCATTTACGATGCCCTTTGAACCAACCAGGTCACATTGCTATCTTGTAAGCCTTTCTGTTAACTGTCCACAATCCACAAGATTGCGTTGTGGCCTGTTCTCTTATCTGCAACTGGTACACTCCCGTTACGCATGCACAGCATTGGCAGTCTCAAGCTCGATGGCTGGAAGAGAAATGTTTCATTACGTGTCCACCTCAGTTTGTCCATCTGCCCGTTACTGCCAGTCAGGCACATTAACAAATGCCAACCCTCGGATTGATCGCGGATGTGGGGGAGCTGAATGTTATTTATACGTCCGCCATTCGCGCCCATGTCTGGTCACGTGTTGAGAAAGGTCCAGTAAGTTCATCGGCACCTACTATGCACAATGATCATGCTACCCAGAAAATGCAGCTGCTATCCAAGTGCGGATTTAGAAGAACGGCTACCAATAAACGTACAACCAGAATGAAATCTTAGTTTCGGAAGATTGCTCAGTATGAGGCCGAGACAAATTTCAAGTTCAAGTTCGAGTGGGATCGGAACGATAAGAGATTCCCGTGAGTGTTCCATCTTGAGTGGATCGTGGAGCCAGAAATTGATGAAGTGCTCAGTGTTATTGATGGATCAAAAACGGAACACCCGTATTGCGTCCTGGCTAACCAGTTAATGCCCATGTTTCCTGCCCTAGCAGTCCCTGCGGTGGTAGTCACGTGAAGTAAGCCAAGGATAAGAAGAGAAATCGAAGGTACAGAATAAGGAAGTGCAGTTTAAATAAGAAAATAATACCAATGCGTGAAGAAAAGAAAATCGAAGTACGAAGATGCGAGTTATTCAGGAAAATGGAAAGGTCTCGTGTTGCCACCCAAAAGCGTCAAATTGCCGCTCAAACCCCTTAACCGTAGATTCCCTGATAACACTTTCCGAAAGCATGTTCCAGCGCTCGATGACTCCGCGTGACAGCCGGATTTCCGCCCTAATCGGACCGCGCTTTGTCCAGCTTCAAGGGATGACCCTGTGGAACAGACAATCTAGCGGGACTGAATAGCCACGATAAATCTGGACCAACCTTCCCAGTTAAGATACGGTAGGTTAGGATTAGGTCTCCTCTAAGCCTTCGGTAGTGCATTGAATGCATTCCCAAGCTAAGCAGGCGCTCGCGGTACGTCCGTCACCGTAATCTCTCGACTAACCTAGTACCCACTCGTAAACCCCCCTGCAGCTGCCTTTTGTCCCGGACGAGGCAGGGCAGACAAGCCTGGACGCAGTATTCCAGATAAGGCTGAACGAAAGCCGAGAACAGTCTCGTAAAGATGCCACCCGTCAAGACTCAGAAAGAACGTCGTATTAACCATAACATGGGGAAACCTCTGCTTACGGCATTCCTCCAGTTGTCATCGGAGTGTAAAGCCGAAGAGTGTAAGACGCCTAGGTCAACCTGGTTAGATACACACGGGAGTTCGACCCCACCGACCACGTACTTCGTAGGAGGACAACCTCCTCCAATTCGAAGAACGGAGCACTTTGCCTGATTTATGGGCAGTAACCATAAAGTAGACCAGTCCCAAAGCTTATCCAACGCTCGCTGAATAGCATCGGAACCCCCAGGAACATTGACAATGTTCCACAGCTTCAGGTCATCAGCAAATAGCACCGATGGTACTTCAAGCTCCGCTGGTAGGTCACTCACATAGATAGAGAACAGCAGCGGTCCAAGGACCGAGCCCTGCGGCACGCCACCGAGGACAAACTGCCTAAACGACAGGCCCCGGCCTACCCGTACACATTGTTCTCTACCCTCCAAGAAGGCAGTCACCCAGTGAAGGGCGCGACCAGATACCCCGTAGGTCAGCTTTTGCGCTAGCCTCAAATGGGGTACCTTGTCAAATGCCTTCGAAAAGTACGTCTAGTGTGTGGCCGTTATCCACTGCATCCGCCTAACTTTCGCGAGCCACCAGTAGATTCGTCAGGCACGAAAATCCCTTCCGGAATCCGTGTTGTACATTGCTAAGTAGACTAAATCTACTCAGATGACTCTCCAATGAATCTCTCACCAGTTTCTCGAGAAGTTTGACTACTACACTCGTCAAATTAACTGGGCTGTAATTTGCAGGCAGACCCCTGTCCCCATTTTTGAAGATGAGATAGATGACATCTTCTTTCCATTCAAAGGTAATGTACAGCTGTCAAGCGATTTTGGAAACACCATAACGAGCGGTCCACTTAGTTCCGCATCCAACTCATGCAACAGTTTCGGGTGAATTAAATCAGGCCCAGAGGCCTTAGAAGGGTTCAGCCCGGGGAACAGCCTACGAACTTCCGTCTCCGCTACAATAAACTCAGATAGTCCCGAACTCTCTGGGATCCTGCAAACCAGCTCAACGCCTGTCAAAGAGGTATCTCTTACAACCGAACGCTGCTGCATATTGCCCACTAAGTACGCAGTCCTTGTCATAGTCCGTATGCTCATGAGCACCATCATCATACATCGATACTGGAATTGACATGTTCGAACCGCAGCGCCTTTTGACATAAGCGAAGAATCTTTTTGGATTCTCTGAAGGTTCGTCTGCTAGCCCTTTCCCGAAATTGAGCCGAGCAGCCCTTAGGTTTTGCTTACATCTATTTCTAGCCTTACCGTACCTGTCATAAGTATCGGTGGAGGGAGCATCTCGGTAAGTCCGCCAACATCTAGATCTCTTCGTGAGCAGATGTCTGCCAGTGGAATCTATCCAGGGCGGCTGTGCTCGTGCCTCCTTTCTCCTTCTGACTGGGATGAAGGGAGCAGAGACCTCTGTGAGGCAGCACTTAAATTTATCCCAGGCAACCTCGACAGTATCGTCGTCTGAGATCTCACAATGGAAAGCCGAAGCATTGGTTCTCATTGATTGATAGTCTGCGTGCCATATGTTCGGGCGAGACTCAACAGTACTCTGGTAGCGTCTAGACAGAGTACAAGTGAAAAGCAAACAAACATGATCACTGGAACCCAGTGGAGGTCCGTAAGTAATGTCACCAACAAAATCCAGTGACTTAGCAGATACAAGGTCTAAGATAGACGGTACTTGGGCGTCCAGGTACCTAGTGGGAAGGTCAATGAACTGGTGCAAAGATACTTGGAGCGTAAGCTCAAGCAGATCCGCGCCGAATGTGCCTGACGCTGAGTCGCAAGAAAGATCTATCCAGTAAATCTCTGGGAGGTTGAAGTCGCCCACCACCAAACACTTATTTGCGGACTGGGAGCGAATGAAATCAAGTACCTCTTTGGATACGCTCCCAGGGCTTCTATACACAATTACAACTGTAATCTGAGCCGAGAATGTGCTAATCACAGCCGACAGAGCTTCCACAGTTTTGTCTGCTGACTGAAATAAGTAAGTCTTCAAAACGTCAAGTCTACAGCTCACATAAAGAGCGAGGCCCCCTCCCTGCCGGCCAGCGGAGCGATCGCATCTAAATGGTGCGTAGCCAGATAGATGTAATTCACCATCCGTGATGTCCTGAGATAACCACGTTACAGTGAATGCGAGTATATCGGGATGAGACCTATCTACAAGCAGACCTAACTCGTACACCTTATTTCTTAGGCTGCTCACATTGCTTAGTACTATCCAGACCTGGGTCGTGCGCTACCAGAATGGGCAATGGTAGGGTGGAAAACGACCGCCGGCTGACCACCTGAAAACCCACAGGCCGTTCGCCTGTTTTTGAGGTCCTTGATGACCTCCCTTAGCTTAAACCTATCGGCCAACGGAACGTCCGGCTAAACACTAATATTTGTACCTTTCAGGTTAAAATCAAACCGCATGAGAACGTTGCGTTCCTCCGGGGTAGAGAGTACAACATGAAGTAGCTCCGGTCAGGGTTTTGTACATTAACTGGGACTTTCCCCAGTCTAATCAGCTTCCTGACAGTAACACCTGGAAAACCAGGAGGAAGAAGCTTCGTTACGCACATTTAAAACCATTGAAGGTTGTCTAACATGCGATCAGCAGGAAGGACAGCAGTAGATTCAGCCGCGCTACGGAATATAACGATACTATCCATGAAAGAACCAGCACGACGGGATGTATTAACCCCAAGGGTCTTTGGTTCGACACTTGGAGCAGGTGGCTTCACCACTGGTGATGGGACTGTCTTTATCCTCTCAGATGATGTAGCAACGGCAGCGTATGTTTTTCGCTCCATTGTCGAAAGTCTTTATGGCAGATTTGGTCTGCTTTTCTTCTTGATAACAGGAGCAGGGTCCCGTGACGTTTTTCACTTTGAGTAGAGTCAAGCACACCGTCAGAACGTGCCTTCTCGGTGAGAGTCGAGATATCCGGCAGCTGCGACTGACAAGTAGTGACTGTGGGAATCTTCGCCTTCGCACAACCGCCAGACGGTTCGACAAGTAACGACACTTCGCTTGGTTTCGGTGCCGAGACAACTATAACTTCTAGTTTAGCAGAGAGCCTACGGGGTTTCCTGACTCTCTTTTGCTTTACTCGAAGGGACCCTTGAACCAGCAATTCGGCGTCGATCAGGGTAGCTTTAGATACGACGTCCGAAGCTGCTTCATTTTTGTGGTCGGTAGCCATATGGACAGATGACAATGGCGCCACAAGTTCATCATCAGTGTAGGCGATCAAATCTGCGTTGTTGGAGACCGGAAGCGTCGTCATGAAAAGATCAATCTTAAGGTGAAGATCTGAGAGCATGGAGAACGAACGCTCTACATTTCGCAGCCGGCTATCAAGTGATTCGTCTCTCGTATGAAAGGTCGCGTGACCTCGCCGGCGGCTGCAGCAATTGGCACAACTGAAAAGCAACTTTTCGCTGGAGGCCAGCGCTGCAGACTGCTCGGTATTCACATCCGAGCAAAGCTGGTGGTACCATCGGTTGCAGACATCGCACTGTGTACCGTCGGAATCGTCAGTTATTGGTATATTACAGCTTGAACTGCAACAAAGTGCGATAACCTCAGAATCCAAGCCACCTGGAACAAAAGCCTCGGTGCACTGCGAGACTGACATAGTGGAAAACAGAGTGGAATTATAACACGTATACAATAATTAAACGACCTCAATACAAAGGCAAAAAGTGAGTGCAAAACGGGATTAAAACTGGGGAAAACCGGAAAAATTACCAGTAAGCGACAAAGACGCTTTGGCCAGAACCACTTTAATCGATCCATCTTAGATCAGAGGAAAATTGGCAATAGTCAAATTCCGTTTCAAATGCTTATTCAAACATCGTTTCCCACAATATTGTAGCCAAAAAACTCGATCAGTATGGCATGCCAAAACATCGAGTTATCGCGTAGTACTCACAGAGTATTCCGAGGTCACCAGTATATAGCCTCAGGAACTATTAGTTCATTGTGATTTGAATAAGAAAGCCGTACATATGTTGAAGACAAACTAGACGGATATTGGCACCAAAAGCGTGATAAGTCTATTGAACAAATATCCCCTTTGACAGAGTGCAAAAGACAGAAATTAGCGGACAACGTGCCTAGGATACTGTAGGCACGCTACCGGTACAGCGAGAGGACACGTTGAGTTGGTTATCATCATACAATATTCTGAGTTCCGTCCCACTCGGAATGTAGGTTAGGAACTTGACAGCAGACAAAGTTCAGTCGGTTCACTTTAACCCATTTATCATGAACTGGTTGGCTTGAGTCCGCACCATAGACACCTGTGATGCATAAACACCGTGTTCAAACAGCGCAGAAACGGGCTTTAGTCAGGTTCTCCCCGCAGCTGCTATTGAGTCCCAGTAAAATATATGACCACGTTGGTTGGTCTTAAATATTTGCCATATCCTGAAGTGTTATGTCTAGCTAAGGTGAAGGTGCAAAGGTGAGCTACTTGTCTGATATCGCTATTCGGAATACGAGGTCCCAGAAACTATTGTTCCTTGGTGACAAGATTAAAAGCCGTTGGGTTTAAAGAGTAATTCCGCCACGATGTGGGCAGTAGGCGAGCCCCCGCTGTGTGGACATCGGAGTTTGTATTCTTCATCAAGTTGGCGTGAGAACGCGACGAACGAAAAGAGACTATAAAACGCGCAGCTTAGGTGTGCAGCATGTCGAATCTACATTGTCTGGCCAGCGTCGTGACTCTGAATTAATGCAGTTAAATTAGATGGAGTTAGGCCGAATATGCGAGGTACGGGTGCAGACGTTTGATGGATAGTCTAATCCAGCTGTCATCTGCGTAAACTATCGTAAGCGCTCAAAACTGCTATGAGAAGCACAAAAGGAAATTGCTGCCGCAAATTACGATCATTGGGGCTCATGCGTTCAGTTGCCGGACTGAATGATGCTCAATCTCGTCCAAAACTTGATTGGTTAACCACTAGGCTTAATAAGGCAGATTAGTGAAGAGCACCGCAAATTAGTTCACAAGGGAAAATGAGGTAACTACTAAATAAACTACATAAAACAACAATACCAATCGACTACCTAATAGGCAACCCATGTGAATTAAGCAAGAGTAGTTCAAAGATCAAGTGGTATCCGTCATGCGCAAAAGGGGACCTACGATATCACCATACTTACTTGTAAAAGGCGGCTTGTGGGTAGTTGGCTGCTGACATTAGTCAAAAGGCTTTGTGAGACACTGGAAATCTTAGCTTGAGCGGTCGAGGAGAGTGTGAGGTTGGGGAACAGCTGATGGTGGAAAGGAAAAGAAGGAAAAGACAAGTCATAGCAAATAGAGCACTTGCACATCAACGCTCATAGTACATTCGTACAATTGAACCGATTTGAAAAAAGACCACATCTGAAGTCACAGTGAACTGATGTGGTGAAATCACTCCACAGTATAGCAATGACACTGCAAAGTCTAGCAACGACGGACAGTCCGAGGTACGGAAAGAATTGCAAGAATCCAGAAAATCAACTGAGAATAAGCGACAGACCCGCCCTTTGACATCACTACGTCCCGAGACCCCCATCCCCGAAGACGGCACGCATCATTCTGACCGAATTTCTCAGTCAATTTCTTCATGTTTCTATGCCACAGAATGGACTAGCCACCTCGCGGTTTCGACCAACTTAGCGCAGCCGAGGTGTATAACGCACGCCGAGGAAACCAGTTAACGGGCATACGGAGGACATGGCTAAGCCAACGTAAGCAATTAGGATTCAGCAAACACCTGGATGAGGCAGCAGAAGGCTTCTTGCCAAAAACCAACCGGTGAATCACAATATTCCTCACCTTTTGCTCTCAGCAGACAGAAGTAATACTCCGCAAGCATCGGTGGTCAAACACGGTCGAGCGTTTAATGTCTTCACTGCGAACTTTTATCCACTATTCGACAAGCTTGACAGTTTCGCACAAATGCTACAATACTTGATGCCATTCATGGCCACCAAAAGTAAAAACAGACTATATTTTTAGTTCGGACAATACCCGGATTGCCCTCCTGAGCCCAAGTAGTTACCTAGTTAAGCAGCGACGATGGAACTACAAACACTGGTCCTCGCATTAGACAACTACTTACGACCGAAAGTTCCTCTCGAATTGCATAATACGGAACCAACCCCAGAGACATTTTGTTGTTTTTCGACCATCCATGCCGGACGTAAGCCACAAGTTGCTGCAACGTCCTGTCTCTCGCATTCTCGGTTTGCAGTTCATTAATCGTTAGGGCGGAAAAATCGGATCCAAGAAAAAGCACCATTTCCACCTCCCTGGGTGTTTATCTTCCATCCTCCAGTTCCAAAATTAAGCGGGATAATCCATCCACGATCTGATTTTGCCATCCAGTACGGTAAACGATATGGAAATCGTAACGATTGATTCGCATGGGACGGAACCCTTTAGATGCATTCCTGAGGAGCGTGGAGAGCGGAGTGGTCAGTTCGTAAAATGAAACGGCGGCAAAAGGGGTAAAGATGTTATTTTTCGCAAGCCCACACACAAGCGAGAGCTTTCTTTTCACCGGCGGAGTAGTGACGTTCAGAGTCTGAAGCATAGTCAATAACTTCCTCTTCACCGTTTTGTAGTTGTGAAAGAACAGCACCGAAGCCGAACTCGGTGGCATCAGTTGACACAAAAGTACGGCATGATTCGTCAAAGATGGCAACCGACGGGGCGGAGGAAATCCGTCGTTTAAGTTGGTCAGGCATTTTGTTGTTCACTTCCCCAAACAAACGGTGACCCCTTTTTTACCAGTTTCCGTAGGGGACCCGCCACGGTTGCAAAATCACGAACATGTCGCAAGTTGTAAAAGCATAGAGCCAGAAAAGACTTTAATTCCGTTAAGTTACTAGGTATCTGCGAGTCAACTATGGCACGGATATTTTCGTTACTGGGGTGAATGCCGGTGCGGAAAATGATGTGCTCCAGAAATTGTATCGCATGGGCGTTAAATATGCACTTTTTCGCGTTCAAGCGGTGATCGAGTTCACTGAGTCGATGAGGGACTTTATGTAAGCGCTAGTCATGCTCTTCTGGCGAGCGACCAAAGACACAAATATCATCCAAGTAGGCAACCTGTCCATCAATACTTGTAAGAGCTTGAGTCATGAACAACTGTCAGGCAGCAGGTGCTGAGCTCAGAGTTCAGAACCTTGGATTGAAACAATCCATCAGGGGATAGGAAAACGATAATGGGTTTGGAGTCACCAGATTAAGGCACGTGGAAAAATACAGTTCATAAATCCAGTTTTAAGAAAATTGTTGCGCCGGAAAGACGGTGTTAGCTCATCACAAGAAGGTAGCACAAATCTCACGATGACTATTTGCTTGTTTAAATCTTGTAGATCAATACATATCCTGACAGTGCTGTCTTTTTCCAAAGCACTCACCGATGAATTTACCCACTCGGAACAATCGGTTGCCTCGATTAGACCGCCCGGTAACATGTCCTGCAAGACTGCTGAGACAGTTTCACGCTTCGCAAGTGGAATCGGTCGAGGCTGACTAATGGAAACAGATTTCGCATCCTGTTTCATTTGGATGCGATGAACAACACATGATATATGTCCGATAGAAGGTTGAAAAAACTTTGGGAATCGCACTTGCCAGTATGCGACTCTAATGGAGGAAACAATCATACGATCAAAAGATGGCACTAATTTTAAAGCAACCATTGCGTTCCTCCGAGGCAAAGGCCGTTGTAATCTGATGAAACGTATACCGCGACATCCGCAGATACCGGGCCAATCCAGAGAAATACGATGAGAAAACCAAGAGTGGTTAACTTATTGCCACTGTAACTCCAGAATGAGGGAGCAGTCAGCTGTAAAGGGTATTCAGATAAGTAATGTTTGTAGAAACTGGATGGCACAATAGTAACAGGAGAAGCGGAATCCAATTCGACTTCTAGTAGAATAACACCTTTTTCGTAGGGAATAAGACAGTTCGAATATCTGCAACGTGAGGTTGCGGTTCAACAACAGATATCACGATATTTCCGTTGCTGACATCAGCAGTAACTGAGTAAAAACGTTGATCGGCTGAATGGACTACGTCGTTCTCTGGAACGGAGTCCTATTCAACGAGTGCAATGCGTCGAGATCGGCAACAGCAAGCAAAATGTCCAATGTTTACGCAGTTTTTACATGTGAGACTGCGGGCTGGACAAGAGGAAAAGTTAGCCTTGTGGGAGGTACTACCACAGCGGTAGCAGGATGGTTTATTCCCTGGAAAGGGATGAGTAGACGGTATTTTCGCCACATTGGTCAGTTGAGTTTTACAAACCGCGTTCGCCTGCAGAGCCACCTACATCTTCATTCTGGTCAAATCGCAGGGTCGATTCTAGATTAAAGTTCGGGCGTTTTCCTGTAGCGGCATTTCACATAAACGGTTATTAGCAACTCCAGAGATCAACCGTTGCGTCAGAACGCAGCCTTCGATCTTTTTCTGTGGTATAGAAGAGTAATCGTACGGCTGCACTGCATGATCAAGTTTAGTAATAAAATCATTCAAATTCCCTTGGTTCATGTTACATTCTGGAGTAGACGTAAGTTGCAGTAAACGGGTTCATTTGGGAGCCTCAAATGCGATAGAGAGCCCTGAATGCATCTTCAGTTGATTTGCCTCCCTAGAGGTTTAGGTCATCAAGTTGTCATTGCCCCTCATCTCCGAGCAAGTGACGAAGCAGCTTTAACTTATTTTCCTCGCTTATTGGAAAATTTAGTTAGGTAATTAAATCCAAATAATTCTGGAAGGAAATTTGCCAGTGTAGCCAGACGTCTGACGTAGGCCTGCTTCCACAGTCAGTCCAAAATGTCGATGGAAGTTGATTTGAAGTAACATGGTGGTACCCGCGAGGCCAGATGTAACAGAAGTACATTGTAGAACGCACGTAGAAGGTACAACCGCTCAAAACGAAATGGGATTCAAGTTAAAAGTCTGCTAATCAACCAATCCAGCGTTGAGCGAAGTTCAACGAATCAGGATAAACCTAGAGTAGCGAATCATAACAACAGTAGCTCAAAATTTTATCCGCCTATCAGCATTGGGAGAGCGATGCCTCCCAGTAGCCAGTTATGTCCGATTACACAAAGGCATACATAGATCGTAACAGACCACCGCATTAATCCTCCTTGGACCAATGGATGATGCTGGAGAAAACCAGCAGCCTATGAACTTTGCAAACTTGAAGACGACAAGCGTGCAGTTGGCGAAATGTGTAGAAGAATTTGCGTTGCGGCAATTCGTGTCTATTTAATAACACTGCATGGTAACCTAGAGGCGAATGGTCATCTAATGGTCTAATCCGATTCCCTACTGTATCCACTACATTGCTCGTGGATGAGAGCCTGGGCGTCACAGCATTGTTCGGTTACTGGCGCTATTGAATCCAACGGAGGAGGAGTTCATATGTATTCATCTTTCACTCTCGTCATTTCGATCATGCAAGCAATTTGTCTCGGAACGACATATTATCACACCTGTTTTACTATACTGATACAGTCAGTGCGATTGCGATTCGGCTAATACGATTTCTAGGTGCGCTCACTGTGCGCTATTATTTCCGGGTTGCGAAATGGTCCAAACTAGGTTGATTCCGATTGCTACTATTTCCTACCATGCAGCAATTGGCATCACGAGCAGTGCCGAGCCAAGTCGATGCGAAGGCACAGAGATTAAACACTCTGGGTCGAGAAAACACTTTGCTTGATCAAGAATAAGACCGCGCTATCACTGGATATCGACAGTAATAATCAGTAGCCAAGCTTGATGGTCTGCCGGGCAAGTTCCAATTCTCGAAGACACTATTGGTTTTGCTCGCAAGATGGTCAGTTAGGACTTCGGTCACAGACTTGTATGTGATAGCTGCCCGTCCGCTGCCTGGGTCACCGAAAGATCCAAGCTTAGGAATGAAATTGCTGTTGTAGTCCAACAGTACTGAAAAATATAGCCTTAACGACGCTAGCGCTGGAATTCAGCTGTAGCGTCGCAGTGCTTAGAATATGGCTTTGGAGCGATAAAGGAATCGATGGGTTAGTGGCTGAAATGCATACTTAATAGATTAAATGTACATGATTCTTTTGGATGGAGTAAAAAGTGACGGTCCTTCATTACGTAACATGGCAAACGAAACACGGAGAAGTACAACGACAATTAGGTTCTTCAAGAGGAATATGTCCCGGACAGCCCATCAATGTAGTGAATACGACATAGGAAACATTTAAGAGTAGATCTTCCGAGTGTATTCGGATGGATATAGGTCATCAACGCTTTTGTTGATATTCTCTAACGAACAAACGGTTAGATGCCTGCTATCTTTACCTGATAAGATCAAGCAAGTTCGAAGCGCGTAGTGGAGTGCAGTGTTTTCGGGCGGACAACACACAATTTTCATGCTACGGTCCTAGTGATAGAAATGGCCAATGTTCACTTCAATGGGAATCGCGGTCCACTTTGAGACTGCGCGTCGCAACCTATTCACACAATGAGTACTACAAAATGACCCACTAATTAGAGCAGTCGTTTAAGTTGAAAGAACGGTGATCAACACAAAACCCCACGGCTATGAAATACTGAAGAGCACAAGTCACGGTATAGACATCAAAAGATAATTAGACACATGTCGGCGACTTACCGCCCTGGGATCCGATACTGTGGGTAAAACCACCTGCTTCTCCAAAGTATGCATGGTAATCCTCCATAGTTCCTAAACAAAGGAAAAAAGAAAGGTTATTGAAAAATATTTGCACATGACAGATCATTGTGTTGCTACAGATCTTTGGAGTAGTGAAATATGAAACTATCCGTGGAGGAAACAGTAATGTTCCAAAATTTTATGTCCGCAAATATGCAAAAAGCGGTACGCATAACAGTCCTTAGATGGGTGTCATTAGAAAAAGTAAAATAACACACAATAAACTACACCGGAATGCCCACAGAGCTGGTTAAATCGGCTGCAAATGATTAATCGTTTATCGAGGTGACATCTCTAGTACGTACTGAGAAGAAGCCCCGTCAGTGAACACTGGTCTTCAAGCAAAGCTGCGTACATTTCGTGTGTTCCTACTGGCGCTTCAGCCTCGAATGGTTGCCCATTGGAATACTCAGAGACGTTTAATCGGTTGGTATGATACCAGTTGTACAATCAGTGGAACGTGGTTAAGTGATCTGTCTCATTTGTTGTCCAGTCACTAGCCCGAGTTGTCGCAAGCAACGAATCACAGATTGTCTGAACTCTTTTCCTCTATTGTCTGTATGCTCTGACCGTTTCATTAACACTGAGTCACTGACCGCTTGTTTGTTCTACGTGCGAGAACAACTTGCTTCGGTCAACCGTGGGCGTTATCGACCGCCACGGATCAAATACAATCGAATCGTGTGCAACCTGTTAGAATTCTCCGACGAACAATGATGAGTTCAGAGAAATATACTGAAGTCTGCTGGTTTACGCCAAATGCGGACGCATCACGGTGACGTAATGTTCATCCGGGAACCTGATGGTACATGACTAGAAGTCAGGTTTATGCCCCATAAGGAATATTGACTCGATATGCGAATTGTGTACTTGAACCCGGTTTCGCGTAGTGGATCGGCGCCCGGAATTGCATACAATGGAACCTTCAGCACGCAACAGTGGAAAAATTCATGCCAAATATAATCATACGGTAGGAGGTCGACCCGATTAGGCTGTCGAGATTTAACGCATAAACTGTTTTAGTTACACAAACGTGTATAATACGACCAACAATGTAAATTCCGGAAGAAACAAAGGCCCAGTTGGGTTGACATTTGAAGCCGCCAACCGGAGATGACTGGTCAGGTGTATGTGTGATACCTGGTTAAGTTTCTTGGCCGAGTCGCCGTTCAATTTAAAGCTTAGTGAAATCTAAAGAGTTGGCGCCTCATAGATGGATTAGCTGGATCTAGGTGTGAAGTACAGGTGCATGACAGTGATATGAACTTCTACATGAAACTGATTGGAAGATGATATGTATCTTATAGACAGCGTTTAAACTGATAGGCTAAAATGTGGCAGATCATGCAACTCACCTTCAACAAGCGCTTGAGAACAGTTTTTTCGCACAGATCAGCCAAAACGGACAGTGTTGACTCGTAATGGTCCATCAATGGGTGCAGAACGTGATCGGCCGCAGACTCCACCTTGACCGACGCATTCGGTGAGCACTACAACGGACATGAAAAGAGCACAATGAGAATGAGAATGCATATTTCTCGACTGTACGAGTTACAGTCTAAAACGTGGACTGATCATATGGTACAACATGATCTCAAAGTGCACATGTGATTTCAGTTTTTCCGGAAGATTTCAAAATCAGGTATATGGGAAGTTCAATTGGTATAAATGGTAAAAAGAAGGTGAGTTTAAAAGCAGGATGAAGGGGGTTATTGAAAAATGCACAATAGAATTAATACGGCTAAGTTTGCAATCGAAATAGGATCGATCGAACCCATCGCAATGAGGCTGGACCTTACCGTGGTGCGATGGTTTGCGTGCCTCAGAGATCCATTGAGCTATGCTGGGTGGTGCTTTTTTTTGCACCTTTAGAGCCACTCATACCAGATTGGTCAATGGTTAGAGGCCAGACAAACTCAGCCTCCTGGTCCTCCAGGTTGGGGGTTGGAATGGGGGTGGCTCCTCATTTCATAAAACGGGCTCTGTAGTCCAGTGCCAAAACCCGCTGCCTTGCGGTAAGGTTTTTGAACCAAAGGCTTTGGTTGAGAACCCTAATCGTTCTCCTGTCTAGGCCTGGGCAATCTGACAGTATTCTGCCCACGCAATACAATGAACCTTCCCTACAACAATTTCTTGATGCTCTGGCCGTCGCAGAGGATAATAAACGGCGCCCTATCTGCTGCATCGAACAGGGTGGATAGGGGTTTGGATGCTACTGCTCAAGCCCTCCCGTCTTCTTATACCCCTTCTTGCGCTTCTGCATTCTTATTGTCCCGCTCCAACTTTACTTATATCCCCCCCATTTTCAATCCCCAATTCTTGGCCCTCCCCCAGCTTACTTCAATAGTCGCTTGTCTTCTAATTTCAAATCACACACAATCGCAGGGCCTCGCTCCAATCCAGTCGACAAGTCCATGTTCAACCAAGCGGACAACGTCAGTTCATCCGTTTCCCTTTGGAGTCCTCGTGTCTCGCTACGATTGGCATGCGTCAATGTGCGCACTTTGCTGCAGATTGGCCAACAGGCAGCACTTGCCCGCACACTAGAGACCCTATCGATCGATATTTGCTGTTTATCAGAAACCCGCCTGCAAGGTTCGAGTTCCGTGCTTACCCTGAGATCCCGCACAGGCGACACTGGCGGCACATTCTCATTGCGCCTATCTGGCGATGATGCAGCTTCAAATGCCGGTCAAGCTGGCGTCGGCATTGTTTTGAGTCCTCGGGCTGAAGCTGCCCTGATTGATTGGATCCCAGTAAACAGTATAATGCGCGCCGTTAGATTAGCTGGTTCGTTCCGTGCTTCGAAGTCGCGCGGGGACAAACGGTGCCTGTTTGTCATTGCGGCCTACACCCCTACAAACTGTAGCACTGATTCGGTAAAAGATGATTCCTATCAGCAACTTCACGAGCTCCTTCGTTACAGAAGAAGCACGGATACTATGGTGCTGGCTGGCGATCTAAACGCCCAAGTCGGAAAATTGTCCTCTGATGAGCTTCATCTGGGCGGCCAACATGGTGTAGGCTCCCGTAATGATAATGGTGAGGGATTGCTACAGCTGTGTGAAGATGCTCGCCTCTTTCTCGCGAGCACTGACTTTCGACACAGCACCCGCAGAAGTGTGACTTGACGGCCACCAGCCTCGGGCCAGTCATGGACGCAAATCGATCATATCGCGATCAGTTACCGCTGGAGAGGCTGTGTCCAAAACTGTCGCTCGATTTGGAGCAAGAGCGTGGACTCTGACCACGCACTTGTATGTGCCGATCTCCTGGTGCTTTTCGGTGGACGTCCGCAACGTCGATGTCAACGGATTGACACTAGCCAACTGGCGAAGCCAGATGTTCTGAATGCGTACCAAGATGCGCTGACATCTGGGCTGAGTAAGCGCCCACTAAACATCGTTGAAGATCACTGGTCGCATACTCGTCAAGCGTTGCTATTAGCAGGCATGTCTTCATGTGGCAAAGCAAATTGCCAAACCGGACATTGGGTCTCTACACAGTCTCTGGAACTTATGGATGCTCGCCGACGTATTCCGGCTGGAAGCGTATACAATGAAGCTCGCAAAAATCTCAGGGCGAAACTACGTGCTAGCCTAAAGAAGGACCGCGAAACCTGGTGGTTTCATCGTGCCTCTGAGATGGAAACAGCTGCTGCCATTGGTAATAATCCTAAGTTATACCGTCTGATACGGGCAACAGGCAGCAGGAGACCTGGTGTTAGCGAGACCATACGCGACGAGAGTGGGCAGATGATCCACAGCCTGTCAAAACGCTTAGAGCGTTGGGCTGAACACTGCTATGCAATTTAACCAACCTGAGTTATCGCTTTCTTCTTCAGGCATTGAGCGCCCTTCTCCTTGGATCCGCCCTCACCCGCAGAAGTCGAACGTGAGATCAAGCTGTTGAAATTGCATAAGGCCGCAGGAGCAGATACTATTCCTCCAGCCCTCTTCAAGTTCGGTGGACCTGCTCTAATAGGTGATCTACATGAGTTGCTAGTAAAACTTTGGGAGCAGGAGACAGTCCCGACGGACTGCAACCGCTCCGTCATTGTCCCAATTTTCAAGGGAGGCTCCCGTTTAGAATGCGGCAATCAGAGAGGGATCAGTCTGATTTCGATTGCCTCTAAATTGCTTGCCTCTCTCATTCTCCACAGACTGACTGGCACTCGTGAAAACCAGATTCGTGAAGAGCAAGCCGGATTTCGTCGAGGTCGGGGCTGCATCAACCACATCTTCACATTGCGTCAAGTGTTGGAGCACCGCCATGTTTATTGGCGACCCACCGTTGTCGTGTTTCTTGACATAAAAGGTGCCTTCGACTCAGTCGATCGATGTGCCCTTTGGGACTGTCTGTTGAGGAAAGGTGTGCCTGATAAATATGTAAACATTATCAAAGCGCTGTACGCACATAGTTCGGGCAGGGTGAGGGTTTATGGCAAACTCTCGCCACCCTTCTGCATCACCAGCGGTGTGAAACAAGGATGCCCGCTGTCACCTTTCCTCTTTAACTTCGCTATTGATGAAGTCATGGAAACAGCGTTCGCTGGACACGACCTAGAAGGTGTGGAGCTACTCCCTGGTGAGCGACTTCTTGACTTGGAGTATGCGGACGACATTGCCCTAATCTGTGACAGCTCCCAAACATGCCAAACAGCACTGAACCGATTAGCACTGGCTGTCAATCGTTTTGGGCTATGCTTTGCTCCATCGAAATGCAAAGTACTTCTCCAAGATTGGCAGGGACCCAACCCTGCGCTAACGCTTGGTGGTGATCTGCTAGAAGTCGTTCAGGAATTTAAGTACCTGGGTAGCTATATTAGCACCCGTGGGATTGAAGATGAGGTTACGAACCGCATAGCAAAAGCTCGAGGTGCTTTTGCCAATCTCCGCCACCTGTGACGCAGACGCGACATTACTGTCGCCCTCAAGGGCGCAGCCGTCCGTTCAACTCTCCTATATGGCTGTGAAACCTAGCCCATCAGGTCGACAGACATGAAGAGGTTCGTCACATTCGATCATCGCTGCCTTCGCAGCTTAGCTCATGTCTGGTGGGAACACCGCGTGAGCAATGAGCGTGTTCGGCGTCGCGTATTTGGTACAGGAAGAGCGAGTGAACTGCTCAGTACGATTATATCACGCACCAGGCTCCGATGGCTGGGCCACGTGTTGCGCATGCCAGCACACCGACTCCCACGACGTGCATTGTTTGCGCGTTGTGGGTGCGGTTGAAAGAGGAGGAGGGGAGGCCAAGTGATGACTTGGTTGAGAGAAATGAAAACCCTCACTTCGAAGTTGGCGTCGGTTGGTGCATCTCGACTGCCTGGTTGGGGTCCTAAGGACGGTGAACACGTTTGGTTGGACACACTTGCTGATATGGCTAGGAGCCGGCCCCAATGGCGTTTGTGTTGTGAGTTCCTTTGTCCATCCCCCTCCTGTTTAGCATCCCCCTCCAATCACGATCTCAACCGTTAAGCATAACATGACTTTCTTTTACGGCAGCCAGCTGTTAGCTCTCCGGAACGATGTCCATCCGTTACTGGGGCCTCAGCGGGCATGCCACTGTTTGTTGTTTTTTTTTCTTTTCTTGCCTTTTGTATTGCGGCACAATAGCTGAGGTGTTTTCCACCTCCAGCTAACGTGTAATGATGAGGATGATGATGAGAGAGACGATGAGTGATTTGAAGTCAAGTGGACAAGCCCCCGAAGACAGCTGACATAAAAGCGTCGACATCTCTGTCACAAGATGAAGCCGAAATCGAGGTTTGCTTGAGGCTTCGCATGCATGAACTCACAGCAACCTCTCTCGTAACTTTGGGTGTCTAGCTTATGCACTTGACTTAGTCAAAAACACGGTAAGCGTCATATCCAGCGAGACGAATTCGCACATGAAGATAAGAGCTAGGGGGGGCTAAGCGACAACTAAGCGAGTTGCAATTAGTTGAGTACTGTCAGGGACGAAAAACAAAACCAAGGAGTCGTTGCCTGTACAAGTAAAAATACCAAGGATAGGGGATGTATGGTTAGAAAAAAGAGTGATACTGTCTTCCGACCGATTTTGGACAAGATCCGTCCTCTGTGTTGTCACATCATATTGAGTTGCATAAACCCTACAACTGAGTAGTCCGTTACAACCACTCGATTCGCACTCTTCTTCGTCTATTTCTGGGTGCTTTCTTGATGGTTCAAAACGTGTTCATAGTAACCTAACTATTAAGACCGTGACTGAACTAAAATGACTAGACAGAAATGGTCACTCCGTGGTCTCAGTTACGGTTTAATCGTTGCTTCAATTATCATCAAACTTCTTCAACTTGCTGTTAACTTGTCTGCGGATTTAGTTTAGTGTGTTTTTTCCCTACTATGTCATGTTTCTAGTTACCCAGACAATGACATACGTTAGGCAATATGTCCTCCGATCAGCTGCTAGCTTTAAGTCCAGTGCATACAAAGAGACAAATAATGTAAGAAGGAAGATGAAAAAAGCTAACCGTCGAACAGAAATAGTAGGCTTTCTTGTAGACAAATGTGACGTGGCTTCCCAACCACTTGCCCAAATAGTTGAAAATTTCACTGTAATTGTTTCAGTATTAAAAGAGCTAAAGGACAATATGGAGCACATTGTCCCGGTCAATGAAGGAATTAACGAGCCACATACGCAACCTATCGAAAAATTCCGGATAACTCCAGCATTTTCACTAGCTTGGAAATGTAAGTATCTCTGTCGCTTCCGATGGACAGCGCATTAAACGCCCCATAAATGTGATCGCCTTTAACAAACCAGAGAAGGTATCTCTAAAAGTGGTCATGACTATGAGTATATGCTACGTTAATAGCTTACACCGAAGTAAAAGTCTCCGAAACGTTCCTGTCCAATACGACTGCATCTTGGTAGCGGTGGCGCACGAGAAGCAGTTGCCTCAGCATAGGAAAATGACCCAAATATAATATCCAGTGCGTCATTATAAGGTCAACTCGAATGTGATGATACGACAGGGTGTGTAGCCGTAGTCGGCTGCATCATTCTTTGTACGACACCCCGTAGAATGGGGATGAGTCAGGTGCATCAAAAATACACAGCGACACTATTCAGCCACCACTTCTGTTGGGTTCAAATCGCATCTAACCTGTGTCGCACTTTAACGTTTCTATGGGGATAAACTGTCATTTTACCAGTGCATCATTTCGCGAATATATGCCCAACTATGATATACAGCACCATGCACTGAAATCGTGTTTCACTCTCACTGACAATCAAATCATTTAGTGCAGTGTTTAGTATAATCTCGTGACATTACAAATAATCTGCTAAATCCTTTTTACCACCTTTTTATGAAATGTCTTCAACAGGGCATCACTGAATACTAAAGACTGAATGTCTTGGTCTTAGGTTTCGAACATGCAGGAGAAAAGTTGTGCTCACCACAAATGCTCCCAACTGCTTACTATCATTATTCAGTGTGTCATCTGAACGGGTTGTAAACTGTCTGCAAGCATCTGCAAAATCTGGCCTGTCAAGTTTGGACACCTCTCGATACTTGGAGGAATACATATATTATTAAAAACTATTATTACCATTGCCAGACGTCGTGGATCCTGCCGTTTCAGTGGGTGGTCCAGTCAAGTGCAACGAACGGGCCATCCAAGACGAAGTTTCATCGCATATTCGCGTGCTTGTTAACATGAATGTCCAAGTGAACCACCTACCTTGGGCGCTGTCCGGATGTTGATGTGCACCGAACAGATAATGGCCATGGAGTCCTGCAACGATGTGCTAAAGACTAGGTTCAGGTGAATTTTGAGTTGTTTACCGAACTCAGCGGTTACTTTGTACTTGTCGATGATAGGCTGCACATCAGAAGTGAATGCTTTATGGCTTGGCCGCAGTATCTCGTATGACACTTAAAGGTCTATGGGTTTGTTAATAGAGGTCTGCTCCTTTGCACTCCGGTGTTTGCTGGTTTCCTGACTTTCCGAAGATCGAGTTCTCTGGGTCCAAATGATGGTTTTTGATATCTATATGCTCTAACATTAGCAGCTTATGATCGTGAGGGCTAATAGTTCGCATATGTTCATATGGACTTGTGCCAACACCGTATGTTTGTCTTATGTCGCACTTTTAGGAGCAGATACTGTAGATCAGCTCCGATGCTTCTTTGCTAAGTCTATCTTTCACCATAAAGACTTTATGTAGAAATCAAAATTCCCACTGCCAGTTTAGAGCTTCCGCCGACGTAGATCAGCGTGGTTCTCTATTTAACTGTTACGCAGATGAAGGTGAGTTGTTGTGCCGGGCAGTGTAGTGTGAAATCTTTCGCGCGCGAGTTCTGTTGGAGCAGACGGAAGAGATGGCCTCAACTGTGGCGTGCTGCAATGTGCGCCCGCCAAATTGAATAAAGTCATAACACAGCTGCACTGGTAGATTGTTGGATGACTGTTGTCAGGGTATGATCCGAGTTACGGAGATTTTCAACAATACAACTATGCCGACTTCACCTATTTTCAGCACAAACGCTCAATAGCATCAACAAACACCCACCTGACTTGACCACATGACCATCAGTCGCGTATGAAGTATATCAGTTGAATAATAACAGTAACGTTGGAGTGCGAACTCGGGTTTTTATCCCGTTTGGATGCGCGAACGCATGTTGTTAGGGAAAGGTCCCAGTTCGAAGAATCTCATCCTAAACCTACACACACAGTCTACAATATACCAAAATAACGACGAACTGGCCCATCAATGTCACCTACAAAGGAGATAAGTAAATCGAACACGGACAGGAACACAGCACAAAGATTACTAAGGAGTAGTGGGGATTTTCGTATAACAGAGGTAATACATCACATCACGAAAACTTTACACCACGTGACTGATTGACGACCAGGAGTATGCAGGTGACATAGCACTTTCCTAGGTTGGACTGAAACACCGTAACAACAACTGGAGATAGCATGAATCAGAAAATGCAGTCTGCGGTATGTGATTTGCGCGTCTGAACTGCAAGGCATCGTTTGATTAAAACAAATCATTTAATCAACAACAGCAGTACATCAGCCATTTGAACTGATGCTTCGCTTCCATACAACCTTGAGGACCTATAAAATAAAGAATAAGAAGAGGGAGAGAAGGGGGACTTACCTGAAAACCTTAATGCCCTAAGCAAACATTCAGGGTCAAGGCGCCTACACCTTGTGTAGACAACATACCGTCACAAACAGCTGGCTATCGTGCAAAGATAAGGCGGCATCGGCAAGACAGCTTCATTGCGGCTTACACTGCCACGCGTCATAATCAGCCATTACCCCGTAGATAACTCAGCACCAAACACACTTTAAACAGGCAATCCAATTAGGAGACGGTAGCAGACGCGCCACTGGTGTCTACTGCCAGCCATGGCCTGTAAAGTCTCGAGCCAAGCACAATGCGAATCACGTGGACTCCAGCCGGGAAGGCAAGACGGACCAACGGCACCCAGTTTGGTCGTCAGTGACTTCATTTCCCGCTGCCAAGTCAACTTCTGTCTACCTCGAGCCATGCGCCACCCTACACCTGGCAGACTAAACAAGGCCATCCTAGGTAAGCGGTGACCAGGCATATGTAGCACGTGCCCGAGCCAACGCAACTTATTCAGTGCTATCTGTTGTTCTACGGAGCTAGAATGATTATCACCACCTAGTACTCGCCTACGCACATCATCGTTGCGGACACGCTGATGCCATCCGACGCTAACAATGCTTCGCAGACAACGATGACACTAGGCTGACGCGCCCCAGTTCCAGCTATCACCAAACAGAAACTAAAGTGATTAATAAGTAGACGGATTTGGAGATGACTTTATTTGTTTTATCTCAGTTAGATTATAAGTTGCATAAATGAGGTACAAATGCGGAAAAGCACCATACTAAAGTGGTCGATTGTTCCAATCACCTTGGTTACTGTAATACTTCTGGCGGTCACACCATGTATAAGCAAAGCTCGAGTCGTTTCCCAGACAGTGAGATATCGGCCTGTCAATCAAAGGTAAGGCGTATACCGTTACGGGAAAGTAAGTGTATCAGAGACCCGATGTCTCTGATTGCCGGTGCTTGTGGAGGATTGCTTACACCGAGTAGGAATCCTGAGTGGGCTATGTTGGAGCCGACCAGCTGGTGTTTGGAAAGAAACCTTCTGGTGCCGCATTGGGGTACCCGCTAAACTCGGACTGTTTAAGTTTATTCGGTCACATTGTCGTTATGCCCGCTAACTGTCTTTCGAGGATGCTATCGCTGCGTCCAGTTGGGCGGAACCGCGAAGTGGTTAGTCGACGGTGGAATAAAAGCGTGAAGAAACCGACCGACAGATTGGATCAAGCCGGTGTACGCCGTCTTCGAGGATGGGGGCCTCGAGATGGTCCGCGCCAGTCGCACAGTCAGTAGCGTCTCTGCATTCGGTTTCTTGCAACTGGCTATTAACATTTCATCACGCTTAATTTTGTCCGGTTCCTTTTTATTGTTCATGTAGCCCGTTTGGGTTCCATTTTATTTTTCCGTTATTGCTACTTGCTGTTATCCAAATGACGCGAGTCGTGGCAAACTAATTAAAGGCACCGAGTAAAATTGAGCCGGACCCTGTCGTTAACCTTTCCAAACAAGGCGAACTGAGTCAGAGCGGAGTACCGGAACGCATCTGGCGAGGCGTATAATGAAGCGACGTTCAGAAGGATAAGGACAGCACCGGTCCAACCAAGCAATACGTGGGAGTAGGAGTATCGTCGGCATGAGTGATTCATTAAACAGACAGAGACTAATGACTCACCTGATGGAGCAATTTACTCAACTCTTTAACTTTTGCCAAAATGGGGGCTTGCAGCTGGTGGGCATACTGAGCGGCCAGGTCGTCGATAACCACGTGAAGCATCTGCTGTAAATCGTTCATGGAAGACAGCGTGTCACTTGGTAGACTATTTCCTCCCATGGCCTCAAATACTTTTTCCAACTGAACGCGCAGCTGCTGAATGTTATTCATGATGATACAAGCAACTTCCTGTTGTCCGACCCAATGCTGGAAGTCAGCCTTTACAATCTCGGCATACGATAGAAGTACTTTGCTTACCGTCTGCAACATGAGAATGGGAGGATAGGACAGCTATTCTCAGTAAAACAGCCCGTAAGAAGAGAGAAGATTTACAGAGATCAACTGTGCACCCCGAAGAGTGGTAAAAGAGTATGGCTAATGTGAATGATAGGACAGTAAACACAGTCGGTGACCAAATGAAGCTGGCGTTTTGCAGCCAATTTCAATAACAGAGGTAGTCTATGTTTGAGGCATAATATGAGAATTCAGTAATAACTCGAGGATAATGGACAGAAAGGGATGCGGCAAAGTGGGAAACATATGTGAACCATGGAACAAAGCGGAAACATGCAAAACACCAGGGACAGAGGCCGTGATCTTCACGAAACAAGGAGGATATTTGTCACGCGCAACGCACTAGGCGACTATGCAGTTATGAAAATTCGCAAACGGTGAATTGGACACGTCACATGACCTATTAATGGAACAAAGTGAGTAGTCAGTAAAACAAAGTGGACGCGTGGATAGTGCCGAACACATACACGAGAGAAGCGATTCAGAAAGCGTTCTTGTACTGCTGGATTAGGACATTCCAGCTTCTTGATCACATCGAAACACTGATTCAATTGAGTGAACACGTCCACAACTGAATTTGAGAACAGCGCATGTTCACTGGATCGCTGAAATCCGTCCTGCTTGTCTCGTTCGTATGCATTGCGTAGAAAGTCCATGGAAACTTCGTCGTTTTCGTTTAACCATTGCATCACAAAAGGCTCGAACCAGCTGAGAGGAAAGCGTTGAAGTAGCAACGGGTAAAAATGAAATTGTAGCTTTTGCGCTTGTGCAATACGGTATACTCATTGTATAAAGTGAATGGTTCTAGGTGAAGAAAAGGCAAATTGTGAAATTACAGGAATTCTAACATTTTATAACGATACCCAACTATAACAGCGAGTACCTTGTCAGCTAATGTGCATCTACCTGCTAAGACAACCACACCCATATCAAGCACGAGTCACAGAACGCTGTCTGATTGTTTACATAGGATGCACCACAATGAAGTGCGATGCCGGAAATACACAGAGGTTCCCAAACTGAAAAGCCATGTGGACAGTGAATAGAATAAAAACAGACCGAGAATCACGTGCGCCTCAGACACCATCTGTTTAATAAAATATGTTCAGTCGGATGAATTTAGAACCGAGTAAAATAGCGAAGTTATAGGCTGATATTGCAGATGGATGACAAAGCTGCCTTCAGTATGAATATGAGAGCGAATGTCACTAAATCAAAATGGAAAAGGCACCGAAATTGGAAGCTTAAGAACCGGAAAGAGAGTGCCATCTAATAGCATTAGGACTGGACAATGTTCGATCAGGTGTACAATCGCTGGTGCCCAATAGCAAAACAGAACCAGCACAAACAACGGTCGAGCTAATGTCTGCACTGAGACATCAACCCCTTGCCAAGCACTTCATCCATGCACTACAATTCTTCAAACAAAACTTACAGAGACCAAGCAGAAAAGCGATCGGAGCTTGTAAATCATTCTTTTAGGATCCTTATAAGCATACCATTCGACTCATACCGAGAAAGCAACAAAAATGGACGAAAGATACACGGGAAATATTAAGAAAGACATATTCAGAGATGCACGCGCTGATGAGACAATGTGTTTGACAAGGTGGGTACCCCTGAATAATAAATAGTCCAATACGCCGGAATGAATCGTGTAGCGCAGATGAGCGGTTTAGTCAGTCCCACTGAGTAGGTGCGACGCTGGTAACTGCACTAACGACCTCTCAGGCCTATTATGAGTATTCGAAAACCTGATGAGGTCACTCGTGAGATTCAGGTGGCCAACAGGGATATAATGGAAAAAGAACCCAAAACACAATTGTCGCATTCGTCCAGCAGTGAGTAAAAAGTGTTATTATTAATATTACAGAGTTTGACACTTCAACTTAAGGAGGTTTTATAGCATGAATCCAACGGTAGGGTATGGCAGACCAGCGGGTGGAAGGAGAACAGAAGTAAGTAGCGGGGCTTTAAGTTGATCTTGATCCAATAGCTTGGTTCGCTTCGGTTACTTAACTATATATAGGCTGCGAACTGAGACGCGATGGATGCGGTTATCATGACTTATGTCATCATGGTAGCGAAATGCGAAAAATGATAAGCCAGCGGGGGACACTATTTGAACGACTTTTGATGCAGAGGATATATTTCATGGAGGACCTTTGTCAACCGGCATTCCCACGTTCAGGAAGGATAAAAATTAACCTGTAAAAGAGACCAGCATTGTATTAGTTTTATTACGAATGGCTCAAACATTCGCATGCGCCACAATGAGGTGGTTTCCTGGTCCTAAGGGTGAAACCAGTGAAAGACAGAATAGCGTCCGCCTCGGCATGTTTGCATTTCGCCGAGTGTTAGAACATCCATATAGCAGCAAATCAACTACAATGGACTTTTTCGCGACATTTAAGTTGACTGCTTTGGTTCGCAGCAACGCCATGTATTCGAGGTGGCCCTGAGAGATTTCATTCGATTCCGAAATCATTATACCCCGCTTCCTGGGACTGTGTAATGTCTGCGAAGAACGCCCTCCGACAAATATGTGTTGTCATTTTATGTATTCGTCCTAGCAGCTCACAAGCTACAAACACAATCCGGAGAAGAAATAGACGCGTATCCCCAAATGCGGATCGGTAGTGGAGATAAATGGATTTATCTACATTGCGTCAAATTCCGCTTGAGTAAAGGTTTCATTCGATGCTAAATTTGAAGCGCGCGGACGAAAGAGCTACAGTTTTAGGAATTCTCAAATAGCATAGTTGGAGGATCTGGCAGACGCATTGTTTAAACAAAAGACACTATCAAAAAGCGCAGAAAGTGCGACTGGATAAAAGCTTTTCAGTTTGCTTATTCCGAGAATATTGTCACATTCCGCCATGATTCCGATGGCACAATATCTGTATCATATATATATATATATATATATATATATATATATATATATATATATATATATATATATATATATACCAGAACAATGCGTCATGCCGGACTTCCAACTATAGTTCAGCGAATCGCGGACGTCGAGGAAGCAAGCAAGTCTTATGTGAGCGCGCACAGGGACAGGAAAGCGCATCGGCTAGGTGCTCAAGACCAATCGATCACATCACAATGACGTATTACACTTGTAGCTTACTGTAATATGGTCGTTTTGAGTCTAGGATGTCGCTTTGTTCGGCAAAATCACTGTGACGCGAAGACGCTAGTGATGCGAGGCTGCCTTGATGACAGATAAGTGGGTTGCTATTGGTATACAACAGTACGAACTGACCGTTATTATCAACGGGGTTAACGGCGACACAAAAGACTTTTCAGGTGTTGTCTGGTTCCGACAGGCAGCCCTACTGAACAACTGAACCTCAGACAGACTCGAGAAGTGCGTATTTACAGTTATATGGAGTTACAAGTGCCGCATGCTGAGGCTGATGTTGCACTCATAATACTTCCCCACCGCAGTTAGGCTAAACCAACATACCTCTAAACTGTTTTTTAAGCTGGATAAATTTCACTCCGCATTATTTGGTTTGTTCTGCCTACCCGAATGGTTGGCGGCATCCGGTTTCGGATTTGCCTGTCACTGTGGCCAGCCACAGGACGCCTGCGCCTACAGAAGGACCATGGGTGGATTGCGCTGCATCACCCACAGCTCCAACCACACACCCCATATCCAGTGTAAACCCGAAGGAGTAATACCCGGAGACATGTGGATGGGAGCCACATTTCATCAACGGAGCCGGCCCACACTCCTTCACAGGCAAACACAAGCACACTGGACTTGGGGAATCAAGCGCACACAAGGCGGTGGCTGGACCGTAGTCCGCTCCACACTGAGTGCATGGAACCACTCTTCGAGCCTAGCACGGTCACAAGGACCGTGCACCCCGTCCCCTCCAGCAACGACCAACTGTCTCTTGGAGCCAGATGTACGAGGTAGTGGGTAATAGACAGGTAGGCACCTTGTCAACATGCACATCAAACGCAGCCACATGGGGGATATCAAGCAACAGCCAATCACTTAAAACGATGAAATGAAATAAATCCAATAATGCATACAGATATGGTGGCATAACCCTTCGCTAAATTAGCATATGAAGTAATTTGGTTAGCGATGAATCCGCGATAAGGAAAAAATGTCCACAAGTTACTCAAAAATGCTACAAACGCAACAAAATTACCGCAGATAAGCGCAATTAGCGTAAACAACGTGGCCAGCTAATAGAAGACTATTCAGATAGGCAAAACAAACCAAATAAACTGGAATGAAATTTATGCAGCATAAAGAGACCTAGTTTAAGTGTAAGTTGGTTTAGCCCAACTGCGGTGAAGAAGCATCAAGAATGCAACATCAGCCTCTTCTATTAACTTGCACACGTTGCTTACGCTAATTGTGGTTATCTTCGTTAACTTTATTGCGTTGTAGCATTTTTGAGTAACTTCTGGACATTTTGTACTTATCGCGGGTGCGTTGCTAACCAACTTACTTCATATGCCAATTTAGCGAAGAGTTATGTCTGCATAGCCTTATTCTTTAACAAATATATTTCATTTGATAATGTCCTTTGAAGTGATTGGCTGTTGCTTAAAATCACCTGTGCGGTTGCGCTTGATGTGCATGTTGACAAGGTGCCTACCTGTCTATTACCCACTACCTCGTCCATACTGGCTCCAGGAGACAGTTGGTCGTTGCTGGAGGGGACGGGGTGCACGGTCCTTGTGGCCGTGCTAGGCTCGAAGAGTGGTTCCATGCACTCAGTGTGGAGCGGATTACGGTCCAGCCACCGTCTTGTGTGCGCTTGATTCCCCAAATACAGCGTGCTTGTGTTTGTCTGTGAAGGAGTGTGGGCCGGCTCCGTTGATGAAATGTGGCTCCCATCCACATGTCTCCGGGTATTACTCCTTCGGGTTTGCACTGGATATGGAGTGTATGGTTGGAGCTGTGGGTGGTGCAGCGCAGGCCATCCATGGTCGATCTGTTGGCGCAGGCGTCCTGTGGCTGGCCACAGTGACAGGCAAATCCGAAACCGGATACCGCCAACCATGGAGTTACAAGAGATGTCAAGCAACACTATCCTAAACGACTTTCGAGCATACACGGAACAAAATGATTGGTCATCAGAACCCAATACAGAAGGATGCCTTAGCATTTCAGTACAGGGCGTCTGACGCCCGTAATACCGCAGCCACTGAATGGGCGTGGGACCAAAAGGATTAACATTACAAATGAAACTCTATGGTCTAATATGTGCCACAACACTGGTACTCTGTGTGCTTTTCGAAGACAAAGCACGTAATTACGTAGGAGAATGCCGATGGCCAAATTGACAAAATGATCGTAAGGGCATAGAGGACCCGATGTGTGCTAGTGATTCAGAAGCTAAAGTGATCCATCTTCCGTTGTGCAACTGAAATAATACGAACCGGTATCATGCTGATTCACGAGAGCAGAGGACACCAGTAAAAGGCCGAATAACGGGATGAAAAAAGTGCTGGTGATACACGTGTGTGAGGGGAGGATGCCAAGGACAGACCATACAAAAATGGGTGCTGCAAGAGTTATGATCCCAGTGTTTGCACGCTGGGTTGGTTTGATGGTAGTGAAATGATAAAAGAATGTCATCGTCAGCAGCATCACATAAGAAGATGGTTTAAAAGCGCAAAGCAAAATACATAAGTCAGGTATTCGGAAGCTTGGAGCTGAAACACAGCATCGGTAAGATAGCTGGCCTCATTGCAGTTTCTACTGCACTGCGTCATAAGCAACTTTATGCCATGGACAATGCTACATAATCCACATATTCAAGCAAGTAATCCGAGGATAAGAGCAAGCGTCAAACATACCACTGGTGATAACTGAGGGTCCTGCAATGTCTCAAGCAAAGTGCAGTGGGGATTGGGTGGACTCTAGGTTAGACAAACCAACGATACTCAGGTTAGTGGTCAGAATGCAGTCTTCGGTACCAAGTCAACGATTGACCCCCCTCTAAGACTAGACCCCGTAAAAGAAACAACTATCCAGGTTAAGCGACAGACAGGCAAACGTAACATATGCTCCAACCAACGCGCTGGTACATCTGATTCGCTGATCACTGTTGATTAGCAACTGGATGAGTACAAATTGACGGTTGCGGGTGTGGTGGTGGTGTCAGCGAACACGCGCAAGTCTCAGACACATGTTGGTGTGGTGCTGCATGGAAAACAGTTAAAATCGAAGGAAATCGCATCTTGTCATCAACTGTGCCACAGGCTAGTAATCGTATCTTAATCTTTCGCACTACATGAATCGACTCCAGTGATCACAATGCACCTAAGGCAGCTGAACAACTATTTCCAGCTACTTCCGCTAAGTGCCGAAAAGTGCTCCTGCAAAGGCACTCTGTGCCTTGAGGGTGCAAAGAGCGTACCAAAGGATGAGATCACACTAAAGATTTTTCCGAGTTTACTATGCATCCCCGCGAACTGAAACTGCCTGCAATATACGAGTAAAGAGTAAATAAAAAGCTCACATGTTTAATTGGAAAACCTTCCATGTGAGTATGTCGGATAGAAGAGATCGTTCAACAGAGTCGAATCCGATCTCGAAACATAACTACATTCGGTTGAGATACATGTGATATTGGTCCAACCCCTGATGAAGTTCGAAAGTGTATCCTTTACGGATTCCCGACTGAAGAAAGGTGACGGAAGAGAACTTGGGCCAGTAACTTTATCAAAATGAGCATCAAGCTAGGAGCTGAATAATCAACACTTACTGTGGGTACTGTGGCACACTATCCATCATACTTGGAATCACAGCAACGTGCTTGTTGTAGAACCATTTGAGTTTGAAGCACAAGTTCATATAATCCGACGATTTGCAGTATCGAGTCTCTGCTTGAGCATGCACTTCCAGCGCAATCCTTAAATCCTCGGAAAGACGCTCCCACATGCATAAGGCACTGATGTGGCCCATGTTCACTTCCTGCGGAAATCTGAAAAGGGAAATAGTGAAGTAATCGAAGGAAGGAGATTGGCCACCCAGAAATGCTCCCAAATTTAGTAAAGTCAGGGTCCTTGGTAACAAAGCTAAGGACAAGGAAAAGAAATGGGATTGCGACTTACTGGTTGATAACAGAAGCATAAGTTGTATTGTCTTCGTCGATGACAGACACGAGAAGGGTAATCAGCCTGTGCCAAAACTCTAGTGACTTCAATGAAGGGACGCTTTCTTCAGCATTTATGGGCTCCTGTGCATTAAAAACAGGGGGCATGCACAAGATAAGTTGCGAGGGGAAAATTGGCGAATCGATGGGAAATGGAATGCCCCGGACTGATGGGGATGGACCTAAGTTAACAGGATTTAAGGCAGTGGCTAGTGAGGAATAAGGACTAATATTGGAATCATATAATTAGAAGGGCGCAGATTAAAATATGGAAACAAAAGAAACTAAACTTGTGCCAGGATGTTGAGACTGCGTCTTACCACTGACTTTCTGCACTGACACCAAAAATACTCAGTCAATAACCCAGATACACATAATATAGCGCAGTCAATGTAATTCCATCTGGGGGAGTCGAAGGTTCGCTTTGATGTTGCAGTCTCTCGTGTGCGCGCATTTCGGTGGAACAGCATTAATCTATCACAAGAGGGTGGAAGAAAATGGCCGCTGGCAAAGAATATCGGCCACGCTGACACAGTGTAGCGATATGGAAGATTCAATGTGAAACAATGTCATTGATGCGGAAAATAACCAAAGGATAGAGGTAACCGGAGAAAAAATGCGAAGGAAAAACAGAGGGGAAAGAGGATAGCAACGGTTATGTGGAGAGAAGTGATCCCAAGTGTTCATTCCAAAGAGAACGTTTTGTGCGTGAGTCCCAAGTTATTAGACTGTAACGGGTTCGACCCATCAGGCAATGGTATCAGCTATAGGCCGTAACGGCGCTTCGCTGCCGTGCGACCACCAACAGTCGCACGCGGGCTGAGTATACCGTGAGGATGCCCACGCCTACGCAGATTGGAACCCGCGCCGTAAGATTACGAGACAAGCTCGTTACCTCTAGGGTATGAGCCGACATCAGGAAATGGGGAAATGTAGATTTTTGAAGGAAACCTAATTTGGAATCTCCGGTACAAAAGTTTCAATTACAAAGCGGATTTTTCAGATTGAAGGTGTAACTGCGGAATTTCCCTGGGAGTTGCTTGAAGGCGGTCACAAACAGTCCTAGAAGAGTCAGAACCGCTTGTGTAGCCGTCAAGTCTTTGCGCACACGGTCACCTGTAAGTGCGTTTTGATAGGCTTGCATCGTTTGGAATAGGTTACCCGCCTTGAAGGGGCAGCAACGACCCAGTAGGCAACGGTGGTGCTGTCCCAATGTCATAAACAACTCATGCAGCGTATGTTCCAAGCCAGTCGAGGAAACCTAACAAAAGTATGACGGCGCGCCTCACCGACGCTTCGTTACCCCCTGACCACCAATGGTCGCGCGGGAGCTGAGGATACTCCGAGACTGCCCGCAGTTATGCAGATTTAAACGGATGACCTTTGGATTACAAGGTAAACGCATAATTTATTTGTCAACCGGCAGACTCCCGCCAGCCAAGTTGACCGAAAATCGTTAAATTGCTGTCTCCCAAAACCGAATTTCGAAGGAAGCATGCTATCGACGTCGCCCAAAATAAGAGGGAGTTGAGACAGCTTGTGTGAACAATATCCATTAGCCGATTTGATGTGATTGGCTCTGAACACACGCGGGAAATGTCACCTGATATGGCTAAGTGGAGCACAGAGGTGCGCAAAAGCATAAGCAGTACTCGGCACCGAAGCTTCGCTGCCAAGTAACTATCACCAGTAGTGGGCTATGAATACTGCGAGGGTCGCCCAATCCCCAACGCAGGCTCGAACCGGTGACATCCGGTTTACAAGATAGACGTCTTGTCTTTTCGGTCACCGGCAGATACGTTAAGACAAAGCTTTGTTACAATGGTCTGGGAGTCAGAGCGCATACGCGAAAATAGCCTTCTGATGAAACGAGAGCGCAGTTAGCCCGCTGGTAACTCAATAGAAGAATACGATCTCCTTTTTCAGAGTGGAAGTACAAGTGACAAAATGAAGCCGAATCAAACAATGCGCGTAGCTCCGAAACTAAGAACAACCTTTGACAATCTTGTGAAGATTGGTCTCACACTCTTTCTGGCGTCAAATGCTAGGATGCAGTAAAGTGGTCAACGCGTTGATGCGAACTGAAACGATACTCGCAGAGGATTTCAAGGTCAGGAGTCCTAATGCCTCGAACAGAACAATCGAACAAACCAACAGTTCATCAAAACGGCGAGTGACACACAGTAAGTGAAGACCAAACAGCTCACTGGGCTACTCTTCAGTGGTGCTTTTGGTTGTACTGCATATTGAGAGTTAACAGTGAAGATTGTCAAATACTAATGGAACGATGCATCGTGAATGTTTGGCCTATTTTTCGCATCATCACAAACAGTGACAGGACGCACAGTAAGCACTGATTCAGTTGATGGATAAAAAAAGCATTCATACCAAAAGGAAGACGACAGTGGGGTTACCTGAAATTGTTTGGCATAGACTTCGTTCACATTTTCATAAATGAATTGGTAGGTGGTTTGCATGCAGGCCCGAGCACATTCCCTGACCACTTGGCTCGCACGAGGGGGACTGGTTAGCTCTTGCACCTGCAAAGACGGTACAGTTGTGATGACGATACTTTGGGGTGTTACAACAAAAATACAGAGAACCGAAATAGTAGGGGACAGGGGCTTCTAGTCGTGCACCTAACTGCTAATCTAATAATGTTGAATTGGACTCCAAAGTCAAGTGTTGTGGTAATAAAATTAAACGATCGAGGAGACTATGGCACTGGCGCGATAACTGGAATCAAGGAACTGCTAGAGAAAATCAACAGCAAAATCGATGTTAGCGCGAGAGTGTGAAATGCGATGTTTGAGCGTGCATGCGTCAAGTAGGGCTAAGGAGCAGAGGATTTCCAAAATCGTGTGTGGCGCTGAACAAGAGATGGTTGATGAAACAAAGGAGTAGCATGCGCCACCGTCAAATCCAAAAAAACGGCAATGGTAGCGATTTGAGAGAAAGCTCTGAGTATTCCAGCCAAGGCGACTGGAGGTTAAAAAATGGGGGCTCATGCAAATATCCATTGCTATCGGTCAGTTAGCTACATGGCTGCTCACTTCTGTTAGCTCTCTGGTGAAGATTCTACGGATGCATTGGGAAAGTGTTGAGATTATCTAGTCAATGCACCTGGGTCAAACGCATATTCACGGTTACTCCGGTTTAGTTGTAAAACGTCGGAAGCATCTAAATCCTGAAGCAGTGTGGATGGACATTTATAACCGACCAGGCAAGGGTTTTTTGGCGAAAAAGAGGCACACACTCGTCTTTCGCAGGGCACAGGATCGGAGGGTTAATAATTCATATAAGTATCACCAAACCCTATTTAAGAGAACTTGGAGAGTAATGTGACGCTCCTCAGTAGCAAGTCGGAAGGCATGGAGTTAGTATATCGCTCATGCTCTAATGGGAAAAAGTCTAAGACAATCGCGGATCACGAAAATATTGCAAACGCCGTGACCGACTAAGGCACTTACCTTCATGCGAAAAAAGGTGATGCTCGTCAGGAGGTCGACAGTTGATTTCAAATCTTGAAGCTTGTCCGGTTGTGACGCAGGAAACGAGTTCTGAAGGAAGTTGATGACAGATCGAGTGTGAACAGAGAGGAGGAAAAAAGGGACAGAAGTGAGAATAAAAATACCCATACAACAACAGCATGGTACCCAGAATGCAGTGCGTGCTCAACCGGACTCTTGGTAGAGAGCGAAACTGCATTGGCGGAAGGTGGGAACACACAGAAGGATACACAATGTGGACACTCAGATGCAACCATTAGGTGCGGCAAACAGTCAGGGGAAGTTTCTAGGGGGGGAATCAATCACCCAGTCGAACTGCTGGGGACTCAATTGCTCCGCCTGCAAAGGCACAGAGAGCAAATTTTCCACGTTCACAAAAACGGAAAATCTAGAAAATGCTCATGACCCGTATAACGAAATGAAGACAATGATGCTTTCACAAGATTGTTAGGAGCATGGAAAACTGTCGGACTAGTGACGATGGAAAAACGAGAAGAACTGAGTCTCGGGTCCGTTGCATGCAATCCACAACGTCCCATTGCCATACTTAGCTAATCTTATGGGTGTGTTCCGTAGACAGCTCATCAACTGGATGACAAAACAGTTCTCGTGGGCGAAAACCAAGTAAGCTAGCGAAGATGACCGGTTAGTTAAATTAATATACAAACGATAATCGAAAATCACTGAGTCGTCAGAGTATGAATTAAAGACTGTATAAGATATAGGGGGAAAAGTAACGCAAAAAGTGAAACAGCGCGTTGAAGCAGTCACAGCTATTGAGGCCATAAGTGTAACTGCTTTCGAGTAGAGTGGGTCACAGTGTAGCTACCTGTAAACGATTTATTCTCGACAGTGCGACACACGCCTTTAAAGGCACGATCATGGTGATACAAACGCGTAACATCAGTAATGGTACAGAAATGTTACGATTTAACCAGTACATACTGGATATATGTGTGTATGAATGTGTAGTATGTAAGTGGGTGCATGTGTAAGTAATCGTGTTATGTGAATTTGTGAGTTTGTTCGGTGAATGCGTCAATATAAGAAGGGATCAGATGAAATCTTTGAAGTGGTTGACTTGCACAGAACATGTAAGATTCTCCGGTAAGTTGTTAGTTCCGTGATAGGCCTGATATGTTCACGACCAAGAGAGCGGACGGAATGAGACGAGGCTGGCGCGAAGTGTGATCGAGCACACAAATGGCAGCAAAGGTCCCAAGATGATACTAAAGCGATTTGAACCGGGATGGCAGGTTTGTGCATGAGAATGAACCCATGAAAGATGGATACATATACCATCCTGGAGCAGGCGTGTTAGACGCAGGACCCATCGAGAGCTGCATTTGCTACGTTCATATATATATATATATACGACGTGGCGGACTTGAGTCACCAAAAACTAAAGCCACTGCCCCTTGCTTATCTGGATAAGCATATCCAATCCACGGACATTCATCCTCCCTTCACACATTGATGACGCGATCAAACAGTCAAAAATGCAGCGACAAATATACAAATGCAAGCAACACAGCTACACACCTACGTACATGTGGTTGGCAGCATCCGAGTCCGGATTTGCCTGTCACTGTGGCCAGCCACAGGACGCCTGTGCCTACAGAGGGACCAAGGATGGCTTGCAATGCACCACCCACAGCTCCAACCACACACACCTTAACCAGTGTCAACTCAGAGGAACAATACCGGGAGCCATGTGGATGAGAGCCACGTCTCATCAAAAGAGCCAGGCCAAATACCTTTAACATGCACAGCAGCAGCATTCCTGGCTACCTAGGTGGGGAACCGTGCGTACCAGACGTACATAAGGCGGTGGACAGGTCATTGTCCAGTCCACACTGGATAGAATGACAGTTTGAAGTTAGCAGCTTGAAGAAAACGGTGCACCCCGTCCCCTCCAGCAACGATTCACGATCTCCGGAAGCCAGTATAATCGAGATGGAGGGTATTAGACAGGTAGGCACCTTGTCAATATTCACAAAAAGCACAACCAGGCACTGCATATCACGCGGGTGGTTTCGTGTGTCAAGCGCACGCACGATAGACGGTTAGTCGAGTTTAGCACAACAATACACATCATATGCTTCGTCAGCCTCGACTTTGGCTACTGCACGATGGCAGTGCAAGCTCAAGACAATGATGTGCACACTCACATGCATTTTTACAGAGGCTCGTGTATGAACTGTCATGAACCGAATGAAAAAATGAACCCTATGAAAAATAATAATACAAACGTGCGAGGATTAGAATTGGAGACAGGGTCAGCAACCATATTTGTAAAGAAGTAGCATGTGCAAGTATAAGTACCCAGTTAAAAAGTTTGGGGGTTGGTTACACTTTAAACGTCATAGATTTAAGTTAAGTGGACACTAGCAGTAAATGAAGACAGATTTGGGAATAAGGAAACAAATGCCATGAATACGGTTTACCAAGTGAGCTGGTACAAAATATACCGCAAAACAGTGATGACTTATCGTTATTGTGTATAGTATATGCAATTTCCAGTGTTCTAGGTAAGGTTTACAACTGATGGGGGTCGCAGAGTGTGAAGGGGCGATTGAATGTTAACTGTAGTCTCTCTGCGCCGCATCTTAAGCCTGAACTGGTCCGATCTTCTCCTATTTAAGGTATTTGCGGATTACCGAACAATGTCTCTTGCTCTTGGCGTGCAACAATATTACACGCTGGTGATCTCGTTTATGGGACCACAGAAATAATCCAGCAAATAGGTGTTCACTGTATAACAACCAGCTTTCGAAAGGGTATTTAAACTGTTCAGCAAATTTCTTAACAGCAGTGTGGCTGCCATCGAAGTACTCATATTCAACCGTTGGCAGATGCAGTTGTGTACTATGCCGTGGCAATAAGCTGCTTGAAAAGGATGTGTCAGCATACTTCTCGGGTGCAGCGGTGCGCTGATTCCTCTCCGATTAAATACGCGAAGGCACTAACATATCATCGCAGTTGATCTGACCTTCTGAGTTCACAAGAAGACTGATTACTTCCACTTCAACTTCCAACAGGCGTATTTGCATTTCCGCCTCTAACCCAAATAGTAGCGGAGTTTTCATAAGCTCAGCTACGTTAAGTGTGGCGGACGAAAAGTGGGAAGTAAAGCTATGCTCACCCTCATGACTAACATAGAACCAGAGCAATGAACATCTATACTATGGCAATTGATAGCTGATTACCGATGTCGTTCAGTTCGTACGGATTTTGCAGAGTGGTTTTTCTTGGGATTTATGGTCCAACGTGACCATGTGCTCCAGAAAGCAAATTTTACACTCAACCGAAAATAGGTTGTTTTCGGGTACTGTAAGCGACAGTGCTTGGTGGTTTGGACCAAGGCGGATGCACCAGGCGCAAAACGACTTAGATGGAACTAGACAAGATAACCAACAATTTCTGATTGCTGCAGGGAGCCGTATCAACAACGTAAAGTGCTTGAAATAGCCTGAGAAATGGCTTCACTTGACGCAGAGGTACCTAAATCTAATGAGGATATATTCCCAGAAGGTCTGAACAATTATTCTGCGAAGCACTATCTGTTTAAGGCGGCGTGCTATTATTGTCCAAAAGGTCGAGATAAGGTCAAGCAATATATAAAACCATTGCAAGGAGGAGAATCGAAGTAGAAAGAAAAATAAAGGCAGCCTCGCGTAGTCTGGTGAGCTATACCGCGGGGCTTACAGAGTGATATAAACCACGGACGAATAAATAACAAGATGAGGGTGCTGTAACTACCCGTCTCAGCATGTTACCGCATTAGGAGCAACTTGTGAGGGTAGCAAGACTAACTTAGATCACGAAGAGTACAGAAGTGTAGTGGGCAATACATAATGGTAAAATACAATCTAGGCTAAACAAGTTAGATGTGGTTCGTATGTCCCGGACGGATGCAAAACAGATATTACGTGTCACCAAGTCAGTGGTTGACCATTCTAAAGCGAAACTGTATCCAAGCGACGCAGTATCGATAGAACATAAAGATGAAGGAGATGGAGTACGCAACTTCTCAAGTTAGCAGGGAAATAGTGCGCTTAAGTTAGCCGATGTAAGCAACACTACTGATTTTCATAGGCTCAGCTAAGTTAAAATCGGCAGATGAAAAACGGGAAATACTGCTTTGCTCACCCTTATGATTAGCACGTGAACCGGAACACGAAGCATCATTACAATAATCGATAATCAGTTACTTGTCACGATTGTTCACTGTACACGGATATTCAAGAGTGGTTTGTCTTGAGGTGAGAAATAATGCAGAAAACAACCCTTAAGATATTAGTATTATTAGTATTATTAATATTATTATTATTATATTAAAAGCTGCAGAGCCAAAATGTGAGGCAGAGGACCTATCACTTTTCGAGAATGCGTTGGGAATCTCTTGTGACGAAGAACAAAGAACAGTTAAGGAATATGGAATAACAGAGTACTGCCGGTTCGTCGGCAAGTTTTAAGTATAGGTTTTTTTTCCAAATATAGAAATCAGCGAGTAAGGCAGAAGTGACTCAGATCGGAAGACAAACATTATTCAGTACGATCTGGAGATGAGAAGAAGTGAACTGATCATGTCAATGACCGATGGGGTAACTCACGCGGTACATGGAAAGGCTGATCCGAAGGGAATTGTGCAATTGATCAAGGAGCTTAACGAACTTTTCTTTCTGTAAAATGAGGAAATCAGGGTAATGTACATGATGCGACGTGATATCAAATAAGGATGACATGAGTCAATATCTTTTGAGGGAATAGAGTGGTGGAGTTGGATATAAATAATAACACGAATCGCGCATTAGGTGTGCACTGGAGCAATGAACAGATTTATGGAAGCAGTGGCTGGGGAATGGACTATTTAGAATGAAATCAGTGGAAAACCACAAATGTATGCCCACCACATAGCAGTAGATGGTCGGCGATTCTGAGAAAGTAGAAGCGGTTGTGTAGGAGAAAAATCCAACTAGAACGTGGCTACCAGCATTGCTACTGTGAACCGTTAAAATACTAAAATTTCACCTATCTGGTAATACATGGATTCTCAGAATTTGTGCATGCATGCCAATAATACTATCAAACGCCCCACCTTCAAATGCTCCCAATGTTTTTATTCAAACACATGGCACGTTGTCAATTTGTGTTAGCATTGTAGTCAGAATGCTTTAACGTCGAATTATCCTAAATTTACCGTCCGCTGATAGAGAGGAATGGAAGTGAGATAGCCAATTGACACTTGCCAATAGTAAGCAATGCGAAGGTTTCGCATTGCTCGGTTTGATGTTGGATCGTGAATGACAACACACTGATCTGGAATGGTTGTAGCCATCGGCCGCAATGGATCTCAGTGGACACCGTGAGCAAGTAATTAGCTGTGTAGGACGACTCGCGTTGTCATTTAATACCATGCGCGTCAATGACATGAGGAAGAGATGATTAAACCCCAGTAGAAAATCAACTAAGATGCTGGGTTGAACAGATGATTTCGTGAACATATAAAAGCGACCAGGTCACGGAGAGCGATAACGATTGAATGGTGGAGCGTATCCAACAACATAACGTCCAGTTGCTACAAAGCAAATGGTGAACGGCCACAGCGCCTATTGGGCATTGCAATCGTGCATCAGAAAACGAGTCGAAGACCTTATAGAAAGCAAACATGCCTAATGGTCATTCAAATAATACGATTCGTATCAATATTCGGCTGGGGGCTTCAAGCCTGGCTTGTAATCTTTACGTCACCGGTTCGAATCCGCGAAGTGGCGGGCGTCCTCGAGGTGACCCGGTGGCTTAGGGGTAGCGGTCACAACTAACATCCCAACGGTTCGGGACCGATGCCTGCTAACTCTATCTGATGAGATGTAATAACATCGAAACGCATCATATTAGTGCAGTGTTTTGCAGAGGCTTCAGAAATAAGAGTTTGCAATAAGTGTACATCAGTTTCTTTCGTTAGGAGCAGAACTCGAAAATGGGTGACATCACGCAACGCGGCATGGCGAGTGTACAGAGAAGCTCCAGCACCAGAAACTGGGGACAACTATCTAGCCCAAGGTAATCACTACACTCAACTGCTAAGAGAAAACAAAGCCGCCTATCAGCAGAACTTCACAAAAACCTTCAATGCTAGCCACAAACTGCTGTACAAACATGTCAATAGCCTACGAAAGGTGAGGCAAGGATTTCCTCTACTCAGGACGACTGATGGCCCAACAAGAACGGCTGTGGAACCAGCAAGCGCGTTGCGGATGCAATATGCCACCACGTTTCAAAGGGTTTTGCCACCAAGCGATCTTCCATCCTTTGTCCTCTCCTCGCCCGGACAAACCCACATCACTTTTACCACGGAGGCTGACGTCTCTACGCAAACACAGCTCGTCGGGTATCGACAACATTCGTCCAGAGGCATTGGGAGCAGCAGCAAACCAACTGGCAGGACCTTTAGCTCAGTTTTGCCAGCGCTGCTTAGACCAGAATCAAGTTCCCGCCACCTGGAAGCTTGGAATAACAACCCCGATTCATAAAGATGGAAACAGAATTGATCCCTTCAACTACCGCCCAGTATCCCTTCTTCCTATACTCTCCAATGCCATGGAATCCATAGTTGCCGATGCACTGGTGTGCTATCTGGAAAACTGTAACCTCATCACTCCTGAGCAGCACGGTTTCCGTCGACAGCGGTCATGTACAACGAATTTACTAATCGCACGCAGTAGTTGGACCGAGGCAGCTGACGCTGGAGAAGGTGTTGATGTGATCTACCTGGATTTTTCCAAGGCTTTCGATCGTCTAGACCATCGGATACTACTATCCAAGCTGCAGCATTACGGGATCGGAGACCCTCTTTTAAGCTGGATTGCCAACTTTCTACTTCAACGGCAATTAGTGGTCAGAGTTCGGAGCTCTTTATCGGACCCCATACAAGTCGAGTGTGGTGTGCCGCAAGGCTCAGTTCTAGGTCCACGTTTGTTTTTGGTGTTTATTAATGACCTTGCACAGGGAATCGCTTCAAACTTCCTAATGTTTGCCGACGATATCAAGATCTGGAGCAGGATCCAGGCGAACGCCGACCAACATCTGCTTCAGAGTGACCTAGATACGGTGTATCAATGGTCAACCCAAAACTTACTGCATTTCAACGTCAGTAAATGCAAGGTGCTTTCCATCCGACATCAGAGCAGCTACTCATACCGGCTCGGAACGAATATACTGCAACAATCAACTCTCGAACGTGACTTGGGTGTCCTGGTTCAAGATGACTTGGGTTGCTCCAGGCAATCCGAAAAGGCCTCGAAGACTGGAACCAACACGTCGGGCTGTTGCGACGGGCGTTTGGACAAATAAACAGCTCCATATTTCGACAAATGCTCAGTGCGTATGTTCGCCCCCATGTCGAATACGCAATTCAAGCCTGGCATCCATGGCTGAAACACGACCTTAATGCACTGGAGCAGCCACAACGTCGGGCATCTAAGAACGTAATTGGAATGCGCAATCTTTCATACCAGGAGAGGCTGCAACGATTGGGGTATTCAGTGGAAGCTATCGCAGACTACGAGGCGACCTGATTATTGCATACTTGATTCTGTGAGACCCACATCATGTGTGCCGTCATTTACTGCGACTCAGCACCAATACAACCCTGAGGGGCCACTCATTGAAACGCGCTGCACAGTATAGCTGTCTGCAGTGCTACAGAAATTTCGTTTCCATTCGTGTCTGTCACCCGTGGAATGCTCTCCCAGAATCGGTCGTCTCTGCAACGACACTAACAGTATTTAAAAAATGGGTTGGATGATACACTCATTACTTACACTTTGTTACAGCGCTACGTCCCCATCCTACACCTGGAGTTTACCATGGAATTAGTTGATGTTAACTGTGGGTGCTATGAATCTAAGCGGATTGCAGGACTACTTGTACTGAGCCATTGACTCCGTATCGCCAGAGAGGCGAAATGTTGCCATCGTCTTCAGAAGTAGAACCAGGGAGTTGAAGATTCGTCACAACGCTGTTATCTTGAGTAGTAGGGGGATTTATCGGGTTTTGGTGAAGATTCGTCGTAGTTAGGCTCAGGCAGATAGCCACCATACATCCAGGAAAGCGTGAGCGCCCGTTTCGTCGTATTATGACTCGTCAGTAGTGCGCAACTGCCTAATCCTGCCGGATTTGAACCCACGACCTCACTCTTACGAGCAGGCGACTTATGCCACTGAGCCGTAGTTGACGACGGCGGACCGCCATGACTGCTATCTAACTGCGATATAGCGCGGCTCATCCTCCACTGCCATCCATGTTATGAACGTGCAGATGACAGGGCTGGCCCCTAGAGCAAGTCGCCAGCAATCGAGGTAGCATGTAAGCTGCCAGGGTGATTACTGGCAATTAGTGAGTAGTAGGGGGTTATTTGGTTTTGGTGAAGGTTCGTCGCAGCTAGACTCAATATAGTAGGGAGTACGTCCAGCGCAGGAGTGTGATTGTAGAGACCCATTGGGACGTGCTTGAGGCTTGTCGCACACAGCCTTTGAAAATTTAGTACAATGCACACGTGTGTTGCGGCCGTATTACGTTACGCATCTGAGACCACCGCCAACCGCAGGTGGGAGTTAGCAGGTTTACATCAATCTGACCAGGGACTGCCTGGTTTGAGGCTGACGGTAGTAAACCACTGAGCACCGGAAAATGCCATCCCACCGTCAGAGACAATGCGTGGCGCTCGTGCGTTACCCCAATCGAGCTGTGAGTTTATAACCTTCAGACCGGTTGTCTGCCATGACTAGGTGCTAGAGAAAGTGGTCCATCGACCTCTCCCTAACCTCCGAAGATGAGTGGATTGTGAGATTGACCGGTAAACCTTGACCTGTCCGGCATGAGTGGTTCTGAAGGCACTTGAAAAGTGCTACGCAGAGTAGCTTAATTGGTCACAGAGGTACGGAAACCATCGCACCATGTTAGGATGCAGTCCCTACATCTGGCGACCATAACAGAAGATAGCTTGGAGAAAGATTGCTCAAGAAGACACGTTAGAAGCAGAATCATGCGCGGACGTTTTAATCCCAAGGATAGAGGTGCAGTGCAATAGGAGCAGGATGAGCAATCAAGTCGGCTGACGGCGGCTACACAAGTTCAGCCCAAGTATCCGGTGAAGCACCGCTGAGTAAACGTTAATCGTGAAGCGCAGACGAAATGATTAGGCTAATTAAATCCACATCAGTTATCCTAAATTCAGCCAACAATCGAAGCGTATGCATTTGCGTAACGCCACAAGTGGTGAGAAAAAAAACACGACGAAGTAAAAAGACGGATGAAAAGTGTTTAAAGATGCGGACGCTCCACAACCACGGGTACAAATAATGTCGGGTAGTAAGGCGACCAAAATCAACAGTTTATGCACTTCGTTCGCAATAAGAACTGAATAACAACGGACGTAAAAGAAGTGGTAATTTATGAGGGAGTGCATCTCATGGGTAGAGAAATGAAGCAGCGAAAAACTGTGAGATGCAGACAACGAAAGAATAGAGAGTGTTCCTCCTTGGGGGGTCTGATGAGCCTAAAACGAGCATAGGACAATGCGATGTAACGTAAGTTTTCATCTTTTTTGGACACTATGTTTGGCAACGTCGTGTAATGCAAGCGAAGTACACCTAACAAAACTTACGCCTGGTTACCACAGTGTGCGAGATAATGCTCATCACGATTCGAAACGGACAATGAGCAGTTAGCATCAGGAGCAAACATAACACAGCGCAGGGGTACAGCAGATTGATGGTTGATTAGCCTGGATCCCAGAAACCCTATAATACACAGTGCCATGGAGTAAGCACTCAAGCGATACAGTGCCACGGTCAAGATACGATCTCCAGGTTTAGAGAAAAAAAGTGGACATCCGCACAAACCTATGAAGTACTTACGTCGGAAAAGTGTTTCTACAGGAAAAGAGAGATACACGATCGAAAGAGAAATCGTCCATGGAATTCGAGTGAAATATCTAAGGGATCACCCCGTCAAAAAATGTCGGCAAGTGCACTGATGACGAAGAACACTGGGTCACGTACCCCGAAATTGCTAGCGCTGAACCGTTCCGAAGCCGACTGGTTGTTCGATGATGAGGTATGCGCATAAAAGGCATTGATGTTGGCCAACAGACTAGACATCGTTGCCGGAACACCGGTACACATGTACTTCGTAGTTAGGCAAGAAAAGTGTCTAGATAATGTGGGTAAAAGTCACGATTAGAAAACATAAAATGAAGAAGCGCACAATGACAATTTTAGTACGAATTCATGTCAGACAATGGCGGGATTCCGAAGAAAGTGCATTCGAAAGAGAGATTTATGTTTCATACACGAAACAACGGCACAACTGTGAAGGACATCTGTCCCGGGGCATTAAATATATGTTGACGTAACAAACAAGACCCGAGAGAAGGCAAACAGGGAACAAGTAGAATGAGAATGGACAGAGTGAACAGGTAAAATCGAAAGAAAAGTAGGCACCACAAAAACGTAACCAGACAGTGAGGAGGATTTTCATTAACTGTAACCGTCTCTTACCACTGACACGACAGCGAGACAGGGACACGATCATTGTTTAGTGAAGTCGAAACAATGAAGACCACATTGCTTAGACAAAGTCGGCAATAGAAGTGAGAACTGTCACGTTGGATGTACTAATCGAACTCTGGATAGCCGGGTCGACAAACACATATTAAAGAGGTTACGCAAACAAATGAAATCCTTGGATGGTTACACCGAACGACTCAAGAAACAAAGTCAACCCCGAAGCATCATTCATGGCCCTCATTTACAAGCAAAAAGACTCATACTTACCGGATCTCTGACGTGACTGTTATCAATCGGAAGTGGGCATCGCTGTGCGTGCAAAACAGCTGACAGGGACACTGAACTTTCCACGGTAGGGTGAAGGGCACGAAGTGGACACCATTTATCTTACCAAGCAATCTCAGATGACCTCGGTCCCACTTGGGCCTACTTTTGGATGCATGTGGGTGAATGTGATGGGAATGCACGAAACAATACCATCGATTTACGAATTGTGTGTTCTGATATCCTCTTTGAATAGTCAAATGGTTTGACTTACCATAATTCAATCGCCAGGAGGATAAATATGTAGTCAGTGGCAACAAATCAACGAGTAGTTAAGGTGACATGTCAGAGGAGTTGAGGTGGGAAAAAGCACATAAAACTCACGTCATAGCCTCGTAGATCGACTCAATACCGTATCGGATAGCAAATTCGGTGACGATTTCCTGAGCAGGTGGATCGAAGTAGACCTTCCAGCTATCATTCTGTGACAAGTGAAACGTACAAAGTCGAAGGAAATGTGAAAACTGACAAAGAAGTTCGCGTCAGTTGAAGAAAAGCATGTATGGCGGGGCTTTAAAATCGGCCGTGGCCATTTCATTGAAGATCAATTTTACTATATCTACTGCGGATATGTAAGCTTTGTAGGAATATTTTTACAATTGTTTTGTCGGAAACACTTCCAAGGTCAACGGGACCGTCTAACTCGCCATATTTTGAATACTAGATTGAGATACAGCGCACCATTAGCCACCATTGGCCACGAACTTTTAGGCTAGCTGAAGAAATGTCGTCGCAAAACTACTCTGACGACCGGAAAAAAATTCCGACGATACTGTTTATTAATTTGCGCTCAGTGCACAAGAATGCACGCTTTCCCTTTTATTTACCCATTGGTAAAATTGCGCATCTTTGAAGATGTCAGTTTACTGTATCCGCAGCTGATGCTGTAACGTACTGAAAATGCACCCATCCGGATACATACAGCTTACTTTGATTTGGCCAAACCTGTAATGAGGTAATCATCAGGCTCGAGATTACAATAAATATTCTTAAAGAACAGATGAATGTTAACAACTGCATATTGCTAAGCAAATTGTGACTTTTGGACGATCGATGTCGATAGCCCGAAAGGGAAGGAGGATCGATATTGCATCATCCCACAGATCGGTTGCTTTGTGCATGACAAAGGACACACTCGCTGAGGATCATGTGAATCGTGAAACAGCCAAGATGTGGACTATTCTGGATCGGAGGAAACAAAGCTTTGGGGAGTAAGATGAGTGTCCCGACTATGGCTTAATAAACATATAGAACGAGTTTAAACAGCTACATGGACTGGTTCTGAGTAAGCACTACCGTTTGTGGTAAAAAAAACACTCAGTAGGATGACTAGTTGCAAGGCAGACGATTAAATGGAGATCAGAGGAATAACATAAGCAAGTCGATGAGGCAAATGAGACGCTTGCATAAATAAGAAGAGTAGGAAAATCCTGATAAGACTGGCTAGTCGAAGAGCCGCTGACAGATTGTTCCGCGAGTCGTTCCGATTCATCTGCGGTACACCTTGACCAGGCATTGACCTGCAGTCCACGGTTGTCTTAATCAAAACTTGTTAATTGAGGACAAGACAACAGATAACCGTTGGAAGACTACATGCCCAAATGAGCAACGGTACAGCTCTCCCAGTGATAGCAATTTCGATGGATTAAAACATGACCGAGTCCGCAAAGTTGCAGATACCGACGAAGACGTGCATGAATATTAGTAACATTAAACAACGTTAGCCGTGGCCGTCAATGGAAATAGCGCAAGTCAAGAGATACACGCGTCCGAACCAAAACACTGAAATACTGGGAACTATGACACAATGATAGGAATCGCGCATGGTGGCCAGGTGCTTATACCTGGTATAACTGCGACAACAAACGCAGACGATGTTTAGGTAAATCATTGCACCAAATAAGAATAAAAACAGGATGACTGGCGTAAAAACGGAGCAAGCAAATGAATTCAAATGAGATAACACAGACGAAAATGTGAAAAGCCTACAAAACAAACTCAACGCACACCAGTGGCCTCTGGAATCTTCACTTCAGGAAGGTTTTTACCTTTGTTGGTTTCGCAGAGAAAATGAAATATATTCTGAAAAGTAAGCGAGACGGTGAATCATAAGCAAAGTGCCCACGCAAGTGATAGTCCTTAGAGAAGAGAAACACCTTGTACGAAGGAAAAGCAGCGTACCCGTGGGAACTTAAAAGATGCAGCCAAATGAGGTGCGGAAAATGCACAAAATTCAGTGACCGAAATGATATGCGACCTCGGCAGCCGTATGAAAGATATCAAATACAAAGTGGAGAAATAATAGTTTCACAACCGGGTAAAATGTAAATTGATGACAAGAAACCTAGCACAACAGAAAGACCCATTATTGAGCAGATACTGTAGTGGATAATAAAAATTTTAGTAATATGATAGTAGAAGCTACGCGGTATATACAATATAGTACTTACTCAGATTCTAAGTATACGAGCAAAAATTGGGAGAAAGACTTAGCATTTCGATTATAGGAATGTTACTTTACAGGATGTAGTCGGGTCGTTTCCTTTTTTTCCTCAGCTGGTTATCGAACTACGGCCTCATAAAAGGTGTCATTGTCCACAATGCAAAATTTGATGGCGGCCAATGTAAGATACGAAAGAAAAGCGGATGGGGTAAACATGGATGTGCACTTCAACAAATAACATGTTTTCAGGAGATGACCATCATTCCCGATTCAACATATTGTGCATCAACAAAAACACACGTTAGACTTTTCACGAGTAATACTCCTCTGAATGCATCGTGAACATACCGAATGGCAACTTCGTGTTTTCAGTGTTATCAATTGTCTCAAGAGGAAATGAACTGCATGCCTGGTGAAGGGATTGGACATCGAAAAACGTAAGTGCTACGTCTCCGGAGCCAATTGCACTTACTAATGAACTTATGTGTGGTGCCTCATGCTGAGGTTGATGTTGAATACATCATACTTCTTCACCGCAGTTGTGTCACACAGACCACTTAGATTAGACCTTCCAAACATGGATAAAAAGCATTCCGCTTTATTTGATTAGTGCAGTTCAGTTATTCTGCTGTATATTCCGTGTCAGTTTTGCGTACATGTTTTCCTGCAAACTCTGTGTTGGTTTTTTGATATCCCCAGTGTCGTTGCGATTGATGTGGAAGTTGGCAAGGTGCCTATCTAGCAAACACTCCACCTGGATTACTGACTCCAGGAGATTGCAAATCATTGCTGGGGAGACGGAGTGCACGGTCCTCTTGGCCATGTTAGATTCAAAGTGTTTCCACGCACCCAGTGTGGAACAGAGTAAGGAACAGCCACCGTCCGGTGTACGCATGATTGCCCACATACACAGACGGGAACGCTGTTGCTGTACAGGTTGAAGGAGTGTGGGCCGGCTCCGTTGATGAAACGTGGATCCCATCCACATGCCTCCCGGTCTTATTCCTTCGGGTTTACATTGGATATGGGATGTGTGGATGGAGCTGTGGGTGGTGCAGCGCAAGCCACCCATGGTCCCTCTGTAGGCGCAGGCGTCCTGTGGCTGTCCTCGTGGAGGCTACAGTGACAGGTTAATCCGGCACCGGATGTCGCCAACCATGCGTAGAGGTCACTGAGACACAAAAGGTTATCAGAAATCACCGAGGCATCAGAATATGGGCAGCATCTTGACAAATGTATACTGTGCAGGTGCTGAAGAGTGATTTGGCGCATATGAGTTGATGCAGAACGTATTTCAGGTATCCTAGGGGCACTGAATCGAGTAAGAGAAAAAAGCAGCAGGGTTCACCAGGTATTTCAGAAATTGTAATCAAACTGGTCCGTTTTCGAAGATGCAGTTGAAGGTGACGAACATCAGGAACCACTGGGGTTTTATCAAGCACAGTTTTGAATGAATAGGATTCGAAGAGTATGGGAGAGGGGCTCGAATGTACACTATGCCTTGAAGTGAGACATATCTTATCGACATGACTCGCAAAGACGACGGTCCTTATCAAAGTAAATGGCAACATAGGCGAACGGAACAACTATTTCCAGTCGCTAAGCTCACTAAAACTTTCATACCGAAATACTTGGAGGTATGAGTTAGTATCATGAATTTACCAACAAATTGGAACGAAAGCGTAAGAGGAACATCGGTCGCAATGTAAGCATACTGATTATTGGAAGCAATTAGCTGCAAGCGAAATACAGTGGAAACAAAGAGAAGAAGAATCTAGGAACAACTATAGAGCCAGGTCTGTGGAAACGATGTGCATGAACTTGTAGATATATATGCATTTATGTCAGTCTCTGCCTGTTGCTAATGAGCAGAAATGTGGCCACAGAAGAGAAATTAGGAGTAAGTTAGACGAATTTCTAGAAGTTACTGGCAGCTGCAAGGAAAAGAAAGCAGGTAATGGCTAAATATGTCCAAGCGACAAAACTTTCTCGCATCAAATTTGCAGGAGGGGAAAATTAACGGAGCATGGAAACTTACAATTCAATCACTGTGGCCGCGAGTGGCGAGAAATGAACGACAATTCCAAGTGAAAATGAGCTCAAAACTGGGGTGAATTATGATTACTGTCCAAATGGCACACATAGACAGACAGATGCGTAATGGGGCACCCAAAAGAGCTCCCGCTCACCTCGTGTAAGCAGGTGTACTGGACGTGATATGGAGCCACCTTTTCTTCACCCTTTATTTCCACCGAAATAAACAAACGGATGGCACCAGAGACCGCGCTCTTGTCAGTGCGCTTTTCTGTCGTACAAATGCAATGCAAGAAGTGGAGAGACACATGAAGACTGAAAAAGTGGTCAACAAAGAGACGGCTAAGCTGATGTCGATTGGATGCGCACCACAACAAGCAGATAAAGTCGAACAGACAAGAGGATGGTGTACAGTCGGTGTCGAAGATGCACTATCATGCAAAGGGGTATTGTTAGAAGAGAGACCGAAAATGTGCGACAAAGGGTGGTGGATCACGAGATATAGGCTTCTCAATGAACGGGAAGTAATATGCCTGAGCGAGTAGCCACAGCTGCTTGATAGTAGTTTGAATTTTCAAACTATGACTGATGCAAATCGTTCGAATATTATGACATACAGATTCCAAAGCAATAAAATCGTCGGCCTATGGTGCTGCCAGATTGAAAAAATTGTCAGAAGCAAAAGGTGCTATGGAATACAACATCATCAGGAGCATCTCGTCATATGATGAGTGTTTGCGGACGAGACTGTAAAACAAGGATTTAAAGGATAAACGGTGCCAAGCAAAGAGTGCAATATGAAAGTAGTGAAACTGCACAAGTTGTTAAAATGTAGCGGCATCCCCTAAGAAATTACGTAAATAAATTGAGGAGCGTCCAAAACGCCTGGGATAAACCTAAACGTCTCTTTGAGGGATCTGCATGAATTATGAAGATATCTCGATCAATCCCTATGTCGACGCACTTATTTCAACATCCCTCTTTGATTTCATCCAAGCAGAAGTTGTGAATGAACGCGGTCAGGACACCCGACATACTCCTGCAGAAGGATGAGTGAGGCTGCTTAGCAGCCCAGTGATGGAATCCGGTAGCACTGCACAAGACCAAAGGGAGTTGCTGAAAAGCTGAAGCAGGACTGCACTCAAAATTCGCCTTCTTATCGAGATACCTACGAGATCAAAGCAGCCCAACTTAAAACTGCACCCACAGGGGTAATCTGACGGTGGCAGCAACATGTACAGTGAGACGATTAAACAAAATTATGGTAAACCTGCTGACACAACACTATAAATTTAACTTTCCCCATTCCTGCTTTATAACTATTCGCTAAATGCATTTATTAACTAGATAGCAAACTAATCGGCTTAGCTAAACAGTCAGAATATATGCAATTGCTGTTATCCTGATATTTACTGCGAAGCACAAATATCGTTTCAGTAGGAGAGCTAAGGAAATGCGTGACTACCGTCCTCAGATGATTAGAAAATACTGTGAAAATGAACGTTAGACGCAAAGCACTTTCGTTGTGCACAGTTCTCTCAGATAATTTCGGCACTGATAGTGTTGCTTTGTGTTCGACTAACTACAAGACTTCGGTACGGTAATTCCATGCGTGATTCATAATCCGCGGACGATTTGTTGTGCTTCACCCGCCATATCTTGAGATCATTGGCAAAAAGCAAGATAGTCGACTAGTTGACAAACGTGACATCGTTGATGAAGGCAAAAATTAGCGAGGCTAAAAAGTAATCCTTGTAGAAATCCGTATTCCGCCTAAATAGGATCGGACATGAGCCCGAGCCCGATGATGAAGGAACTTTCCGATTCATCGAACGACATGGTTCCCGATTCCGCTTTGTCTAAGGCTTTAGAGGCCGAGCATGATGAAATCGGTTCCGATCCTATGGTCCGCTGTTTCTACCCAACTATCACGCACAATCAGTTGGTTGGTAATACATGACTGATGTCGACGAAAGCCGTGTTGCTCCGGTGCTACGACGTAAGATCTTTCCAAACAGCCCGTCAATATCTCAGCTATGCTAGACACCAACAAATTTGAGAGCATTGGGAGGGGAATCAATGGGCGATAGTTGGCAGGATCCGAACGGCTACAACCCTAAAAATGGGGGGCACTGAAACCCGGCTTCTGCAAGCTATGAACTAGCTGTTCCTCCAAGCACCTTTAGAATAATCTGGACAATGGCTCGGTTAGCCTCGTAGCTGCCCCCTGCAGATCTTTCGAGTGAATGTTGTCGACACCGTGGAACTATTGGTGCGAAACGGCAGCAGCTTCTTCAAAACAATCGTTAAACTAAGAGTGAATTATGCAAATAGTGGCGTATGGAGGAATGAGGCTCGTATGTGATACCTGCTGATCGCATGACGGAATATTAGAGCATGCTGTAGTGGTTGAGCGTTGGTTGCATCCCCCGCGGTGTGTGTATATCCGTTTGCTGTGATGAGTGGAGCAACATCACGCTACATTTTCCAGAGGCTATTCACATGTTTGTACGGATAGTTGTCAGCACAAAACCTCTCCGCTAAGCGCTGTTGCTATAATAATATGTCCTCACGGACAAGTGTGGTACAACGGTTACGTTGCACTACATAGTTGCTCCAGTTATCAGGGCTAAGGCTTGCCTTGTACGCACGCCACGCAGACTTTTTTTAGCATCATGCGTTTTTGAGTTCTGCTTCGAATAAATGCTGGTGCTGTTGCAGAACGAAAAGGCTTAATTTCCGATGCGGATGTGATCAGATCACAGAACTTGCCAACAAACTCCATCCAAGCACTATCAATGAAACGATTATCCGTAAACTCCTAGGTGGCTTCTCCAACAAGTTCTGTTAGTATGTCGTAATGTACGATCGTAGGAAACGGGTCAATGTGTACCTGTGGACACTCCGCATAACACATAATCGTAGAGTAGTGTGACGTGAGAACTCTCCATCGTCGTCTTACCGATCATGAGCTCTTCGTTCGTGAGCCCAAAGTCAAACACGAATGGTTTGCTTCACGCTTTGAATCGAGTAGACGAGATGACATGGCTGAAGAGCGGGATGTTTACAATGAACTCTTGCAGACCGGCATTGAAGTATTCGCTAGGGTACCGGGACTTTCAGCCTATGAACGCTGAAGTCATCTGAGATGGGAACATGGCTGTACTGTCGCAGCAGAACCCTCCACAATACAAATGTCAAGCGGGAGTCCACCTCTGGGGTGTACATTGGAGGATGACAACTGCCACAAGGCAAATATCGTTGCGTCTCAGTCGCAGAAAGCATTAGTGCGAGTCTATAATCAGCGTTTCCAGACCGTCCACCATTTCGCGACACAGGCCACCGCAGTAGTAAAAAATTACTCCACCTCACTTGCTGGGGTGGTCGTTTAGAACAAGGGATACATCATTTATCACGAATTGGACGTCCGTAATTTGTGAATGCAACCAAGTTCCCGCTACCGAGATGATGTACAAGGCGTATAATGCATGAGGTAGTCGCAGTTCAGCAAGCTTTTCAGAGTACCATATGCGTTGTGTACATTCAGTAGTGAGTCGGGGAACGTGTGTCTTGAATGTGATGTTGCGTCGACCAGTGGAAGAACGGCCACTAATCGTTTTTTTGGGTGGGGTGGTCAGATTCTTGGATCCCGCCATTAGCATCTTGCTCATCAGTTTACATGTAGAATATGGGATGTGTTAGCCAGTTTCTTCAGCCAGAGGAGTAATGTTATCCCAACCGCCGTCCGGAGTGTCCAGATTAAATCGCTGCTGTCGTGTGTCTGCATAAAGGACGTTGCTGCGACCCGCATACCAGCACTCCAATACCCTTGTTGATATCTGTCTGGATCGAAGTATCACCTTCACAATCCTCGGGCCACATCCATTGTAGTCTGGGGATCTGCGTAACCTCGAAATCGATTGCGCTAGGGCGTTTTCCATGGACAGAATTGCGCGAGTGTAGCGCTACTGCTCCTACTCCTGTGTGGATGTTTCGCGCTAATTATGACTTCCAGCGGCGGAAACATCAGATAGAAGGATGACCTTGACTATGGATTTCTTCCGATAGCCTTCAAAGTGGTGCTTCGCTGGTTTACGCTCATCCTACTGAAGATACAGGGAGATGCGGTGGAACGTGACCCATTCTGGAGACAAGCAGTCGAGAGCAGAACTGTTCCAGTTTCATCGCGGAAGTCGATACAACTCAGAGAAGACTCGACTCGTCGTGGTGCTTTGAGTTTGGGTGATGTGTGACTCGCATGAGATTTATGGGCTTAATTACAACACCTAAGATGTCACGTATGAAGCTCCACTGGTTCACATTAGCGAGTTACTTTCTTTTTAAGAAAGTTGGTGTCGATTCTGGAACATTGGTGCAGATTGCCGATGGTACACAATGTGGCCTGTTAATGACCATTTGTGCAGCCCGAGTTGAAGTCAAGCATCCAGCTGGTCTGCACACAATCAGTGGAGTAACTAAAAATCTGTGTGAAGATGCCCTTGGCGGCAACCACATTCCAATGGACAAGCGTGTCAACGTCTTTCATGAATTACGGAACAGTTTGGACAGTGGACGAGACCCTAGTTGTACTTATTTCAATCGGACTGGATGCGATTGGTTCAGGCGTATTTCGGCCACCAGTTGTGAGTGACGTTCAACGTTAGATGCGATGCATTGTTAACGCGATGCCCAACCTCGTTCCAAATTTCGAAGCAGGACTAATTTGGGAGGAATTGGGCCTACTCTTTTTGCCACGCTTTCTCCCAATGAATCGATTTTGGTATCCCTAATTTGTTCAATCATTGGCAACAGTCTTTCGTTCGTAGCTACTGGGTTAAATGTTTGTAGATTGCGTCCTATCTACCATGAGTAACAAATTAAGGAGAATTTACCGGGTTTCCGGTTTTTGCTTCTTCTAAAAGCTTGCCTTCCAGATGGGAATGATGATTATCAACATGCATACGCACTGACATTAGTGAGTTCCGGCCGTGTCAGTGAACGGTAAGGCCATACACATCAAACGTCAAACCACATAGTGTCTGCAGCAGTCTTTGTAGATGGTATAACTGACGCCCGCTGCTTCTTTGTTCAGCATACGGCCATTCGTTTTCATTTGCCATGTGGGTAACTTTGTCCTCGAAAAGTAATAAAAGTCTCGTTGCCACCTTTAAAACCCCACTTGTACAACGTATCAGCGAGTATTCATACTTGTTATACTTGTGGAAGCAGCTGCGATAGCGTTTTCAGCGTCATAAAATGTAGAATGTTTGA